CGCTCCTAGGCCGCCGCCATGTTGCTGATGCTGATACGGCTGCTGCGACTCTCGCGCCCTCTATCAGCTAGAAATTTTCTGCCACTCTCTGGGACTGTGAAGACCCGCTCAGCGCGGTTCTCTACCTACGTTTTTGCGGTTTGGCATTCGACGTTTTCTCGCCTCTCTTGAAAGTTTCCACTTAATCTTTTTATGCGTGCTGCGTACCCTTTTTGTGTTATCTTCCATAGTGAAAAATAAGGCTGGCATTCAAGCTTCTCTGCTCAACATTCACGGGAAACGAAGGAGGTGAAGGACGTCGAACGACCCTCGACGCGATTTTGCGAACATTGTTCCCCCCCTCCCAGAGATAATCCGCGTAGAATCCTCAGTCATCTCCAAAAATAGTTGTCCGGGTTGGGGTGGGAAACGGGTCAGTCGCGTTTGTTTCTTTGCCTTGCTGCGGTTGTGAAAAAAGGAAGCTCTCCCCAAAACGTGCCCCAAACCGAAGTAATCTCGGATTCCGTCCGATCGTTAAGATGTGACTGTCGTCGACTGTGACTGTGTTATTTGAGATCTTTCTCAAATAAATTATCTTCGGATAACGCTGCATCGTGTGGTACGTACGATATATTTTTCGAATGTTAACTGTGGTTAACACTTCCTCAATTGTATGTCCGTGTCCTGTCCATCGGTAAACACGTCATTTGTGAGCGTAAAAAATGCATGCCTTTCGGCCCTCTCCTGTTGCAATTTATTTTTGACAGCAAAGCGCTTTGTCGTTTCTCATGCGGCGAATCCCGCAGCGCCCTCAAAACTTATCCTAAGAAAAAAAAATAACTAGAACTATACATTCCAGTCGCATTCGTTCTGTCGCGCGCGTACCCAACAAAAATAATTCGTTTTTTTTTTTTTTTTTTTTGCTTTTCTTGTTTTTTCAAGAGTGGCACAATGCTTTCTCAATGTCCTCGGGAAAATGCGTGTACCATGAAACACAAAATATAACTGGAAAAGACGATAATTTTGCCGCCAGCAGCGTTTGAAACTGCGCCTACGCAGGCTGTGCCTATTGAAATCACAGTCCCCTCGGTTAGGGTTAGGAGGGACGCCGGTGAGAGTCTAGCCTCAAACTCAGTGACTGGGCTCGGAAACGGTTGGTTGCCCCTGGGGTCGAGTGTTTTTTGGAAAGGTGTATACAGAGCAGGACGATCACGATCATCTGGTGGGCTAGTTGGTTGATCATATTGTTGAATTAACAGCGCAAATACGACAGGAAGGAGAGATAAGGGAGACAGGATAGAGCGCTGATATCCGCGCTCTATCCTATGATATCAGCGCTCTATCCTGTCTCCCTTATCTCTCCTTCCTGTCGTATTTGCGCTGTTAATTCAACAATACAGAGCAGGATCTCGGATTCAATTGCAGTATCAAGGTCACGTTATGCCCGCGGTTGAAGCGGTGGTGGTGGAGGTGAAGGTCGTGTTATGTAGGTCACATAATGACTGTAGCTGGAGCGATGGTGGCGGAAGCATAAGAGCCGGTCGCGGAAGCTCGTAAGCGCCAGTCGCGTAACGCCGGTCGCTGAGCTGACATGACGTGACCAAACGTCTTGACGTCGTCCTTGGGGTCATCCTAGACGTCGTCTTTGACGTCGTTCTCGACTTGGACCTAGAGGTCGTCCTAGATGTTGTTTTTGACGTCCACTGGGACATTGTTCCTGAGGTGCCCTAGAGGTTATTCTAGACATTGTTCTTGACGTCGTCCTCAAGGACGTTTCCCTTTAGGTTATCCTAGAGGTCATCCTAAATTTCGTTTTTCACACCGACCTAGACATGGTCCTTGAGGTCGTCCTAGACGTCGCCATTGACATTGACTTCGACGCCGTTATTGACGTCGTCATGGACGTTGTCCTTCAGATCATTAGAGGCCGTCCTTGAGATCGCCCTCGACGTCATCCTTGAGGTCATCTTAGAGGTAGTTTTTGACGTCGTCCTTCTTATCGTTCTAGAGGTTGTCCTCAACGTCCTCCTTAATGTCGTACTTGAGATTGTCCTAGACGTCGTCCTCTAGGATGTCATCCTTGAGGTTGTCCTAGATGTCGTTCTTGACGTTGTCCTAGACATCCTTTTTGACGTCATACTTAAAGGGGCCCTGCAATCATATTTAAGCGTCTAGCTTTTTTGAGATTTCCACATCTCTTGGGGTTCAGGCAAGCCAGCGGGCACAGAGTGAGTAACTAATAGCCCCTTCCCCTGGCAAATGCCGAGCGCTCCGCGCTAGCGGTCCGCCTCCGTGAGCGATTGGTCACGTGATCCATCCCAGTGGCACGCGCTGAGGAGCTAATCGAGCATAACGCTCCCAGCGCCACCGCTTCCAGAGCGTCTGCTCTCGCTTTTTAATTGTTTCAGTTCCCATTGCTATCTTGCTAAAAGCATGAAGTTCTGATTGGAACTTTATGCTTTGACAACGAATTGTTTGTTTACTACTTGAGTAACGGGGACCCCGACGTTAAGACACAATTTATTTTTCCTTACAGTTATATAAGCCTGATGAAGACATGCTTGTACGAGCCGTAGGATGCTATTAAGCAATACCAAACACGTATGCAGTAAGCGATCGTCATCTCCGAAGGCGACTTCCATCTGCGGAGTATTTGGCGGGTTGTCTTCTAATTATTCCAGTTACATTACAGAGACCACAAAACGAACAAGCGACATACCTATAGCTCTTCATCCGAATAGGCGCACACAACGCCTTCGACGTAACGCGATATCTTGGGCCTCTTTGCTGGCCAGGCAAACGACTCGGCAAACACTTCGCTGAGAACGGCTGCCTCGACGTCACTCGAGCTGGAGCTAAGCTGGTATCTTCGTCGCTGTCACTGCGTCTTATTAGACCTCCTGAAATTAACTGCAACAATGTCATCGCCGCAGTATGCTCGGGCGAGTCGGTCATGACGAGGGGAACGAAAGCAAACACACCAAGAGAGCCCACCTAGCAATCGAAACGAAAAAGCCGCGAAACTCCTTCACTTCCCCGTGGGAATGTCGATAACGAAACTGAAACGTTGCGAGAGACGACTACAGATTGTACTCCTCCGTAAAAGGCTGCGCGGAGAACTTCTCCGGACCGCTCGACGCGCCCCGCCATTTTTCCACGGAGCGGTTGGAGCCGCTCGGCGAGCGCCCCAATGGGCGCGTTCAGTAGCGGCCCCGGAGTCAAGGAGTCACTGACTCCTTCCACTGGACGGCCAAAAGACACTTCCGGTGCACGTAACTCCGGGGCTTCGGAGTCAAGCTCCGAAGCACCGAGTCCGGAGACGGTGCACGTCACAGTGGTGCACGTAGAGTCAAAGGAGCTAAAATGACGTCATTTCCTGACTGGTGACGATTTCCGGCGCTAAAAGAGAACAAAAACAAACAAAATGGCGGGATAAGCTGCTTCGGTTCTGTCGCGGGTGTGCAGTTTGCTCGCTTTTGTTAATGAAAAGTGCTCAAGGTAAGACGAATAACGCGTCCGAATTTCTTTTTGAGGTAAGGCTCCTTCGGAAAATGCATTGGACCGTATTTTGCTTGGTTTGAATATGCTAATAAACAACGTAAACGTTCATTTGACGCCGTGTCTTGATCGCCGTTGCACGGAAACTCGGTAATATTGACGATAGTCCTGTCCGCGCTCAACAGAGCAAGGCAGGTATCACCGCGACTTTGGAAGCCGGTTGGACACTCACGCAGAGCATGATACCGATTAATGTTTTGTTTGCGTAGCTAAATCGGGGTGCACGTTGGCTGAGGCTCGCTTCGGCGGACAAAACCTTGAACGCCGAGCGCGGCCGAACTTCCCGTGTGCATACGAGTTCGTTACGAAGGGCAGAACAAACGTATGGCCGTATAAAAGTATCGCAACCGGCGGCGTAGATTCGCCGAGCTTTATATTTTACGTGTGCTGACGACGTTTTTTGTCGGCTTTTATAACAGTAGCTGCCTTTGCACCGCCAAGCGAAGGGCTCGATCGCGTTGCATCGCTTCGAACAGCAGCGCTGATGTGTACAATCACCCGTTTTTTCTGCAACGACCTTGTAAAGACTTCAATACTGGCGTCAAATAAAAGCGATCGTGCTCGCCATCGTCTGCTTCCAGTTAGGAGACCGTCTGGCACAGGGGAGGAAGCGGAAATTGCGTAGAAGCAGGTTTGGAGCAGCGGGTTTTTTTGCCGTTCAGTAGGCGCTCCGATGACTCCGACTCGAATCACTCCGTTCGGAGGCAAGGGAGGCGCTACTGAACGCGCCCAATGGCTCCAGATCTACAAGCGGCACACGGAAAGATTGCTCTCATCTCGCGAGGGAAACAAGAATCCGCTCGGCGAGTGCGCGCCGAGCGGATTTTGAAAACAGGAGAGGAGGAAAAGGAGGCGGAAAGCAGGGGAACATACGCCGGGGCGCGAGAAACGTCGGCGGGGCGACCGTAAAGGTGGCTTTCTTGCACGGCGTGGATGCTTTGCTCCTCACGTGATGGATCTCGTCGAATAGCGGCGTGGCGGCGCGGGGCAAACAAATGCGCAACTCTGCTCTCGGAGAGCATATCGAGGAACTCTACTAAAATCAATGAATGAACGCCATCTTCTGACTCACTGATGCAACTTTCATCCACAAAACTGAATATTCACCAAAATTGTGAGTGAAATTGTTTTTGAGGAGTGTCAGCGCGTGACGAGGACGCCATACTCGATGGCATCGCTCATATTCCTGAAAGTTGAAAGTCAGGTAAAAGATTGTCCCCTTGCCCAAAAGCAAAAACCAAAAGCGAAACTCAAAGTAGAGTTTCTCCATAATGTCCTAGCTGGCATCACATGTCTAAAAATGACGCTGAATGCATTAAAGCAAGGGTTTGAAATTCACCGATCAAATTAAATCAATTTGAATTGGCACGGTAAGGAAAGAGTCGGGCAGCTCTTCCTCAAGACTAGCACAAAAGTCGGATCCAAGGCATCAACCTCGAAAGGAGCCAAAAATGCCTGTAATAGAAAATCGCTCCCACTTCTTTATTTACAGTCTCGGACAGCTACTCCAATGTTTGCTCCTACCAAGCAAACGGGGCCCGCTCTCTGAGTAGGCGAACGCCAAAGCGCTGCCATTCACACTGCCGCACCCAGAGTTCCTGCGCCGTGTCCAGGCAACTCATGATGGAGGCTCCTTTCCACGTCGTCACTCGAGGGTCCATCTCCTGCAGACATTATTCTTCGTCAGCCAGCTCTCTCAAGGCCTACTGAGGCAACAGTCGGATCGACAAACGTCTTTAACACATATACCAAAGCCACAGGGAACTAGAAGCCTGGTAAAAATTGCTACAGATTACATTAAAAACCCGCATATAACGCAATAAACAATCCGAGGCCCGCCAAAAAAAAAAAAAATTAAGATGTTTGATCTGCGTATAGTGCAATCCAGGAACATTTATTTCACGGAAACATCTATTTCTGCTGTGTCCACTTCACACCTATGCATTGGCATTTGTTTCGCTACCCTCTGACACCCCCATGTTCAATAATTCCTCCCAAATGCGGTCGTCTTTAGCGCCTTTCAAAGCGTTGAAGATACCGGGCGACAAGCTCTTCGGGAGTGGTATCCCACACCTTGTTTATTCACTTGCACAGTGTGGCTGGAGAGACTCGCCATCTGGTGCGAGTTGTCGCAAGCTCCTCCGATCGCATCCAGTGAGCACCGCTTCACACGGTCTTTAAACGCGGCATATCGATGCACACATCTAAAGGTTGTAACTGAGACGGAGACACTTCAGCAACTGCGTGGTGCCACGATCAAGTGGTGGCAGCCTCGCAACTCGCAAACCACCTAATGATGATGATGATGGTGGGTGATTTGACACCATCGATATTGGAGGCAGCATTTGACTTTTTTGTAGCAGGTTTTCTAGCGGGCAAAATATTGGTTTTGAGCAGCTACCGACGCTTTTGGTCTGAGTATAATTTCCGAGTCTATCGCTCTAACCCAGGTGCTCCCCCGTGTCAGCCGCTGCTCCTTGCATTTTGGTGCAAAGCGGTAAAGCTCGATGCGCGCATGCTGGTTCGAGGCAGCGAAGGTTGAGGAGAGCCGCACAAGTGCCACGGTACATGTAGCCTATAATCTATAATCGAGCGATCTCATCACGAGTAAAAGGCTCTGGTTCTCTCCTATTACAGTAGCCGGCACCCCACAATCATGCACATTTTTCTCGCAGCTTTTGCCTCCTGGCATCGCCGACGTCAAAACATTCAGACGATGCCGGAGATGTCATCTCTCTGCAGGTTTTCTTTCTTTGACTAGTCCAATCAATTGCAGCGAATGCCCAGTGACTTGCGCTTTTAGTGTGTATTTGTGTTGGGGGCTGTGTGTGTATTGGGGGTTGCACGCGTTCAAACCTTCTACTGTGCTCTTACTTAAGTTTAAACAAACTACACGGTGAGTAGAGACGCTGTGGAACACATATTTGTACCATTTTCCTTTTCTTCTACTTCTCTATATCAACCAATGTCTTATTTTTTTTTATTTATTGGTTTAAGGGGAAACACTACTTTGAATTGCACTTTTTTTTTTAAATGCATATTCATAACTGGAGAGTTTTGGCATGTATGCATAACAAGGAACACTCTCACAAAGTCTTGTCAATGTGCACTGACAAACAATGTCAAAAATAATTATTCTTTACATGTTGGTGAGGCGTGCTGCACTGCGCAGCACTCATCATCCACAAGTGAAAATGGCTGAAAGCAATGTCAGTACATCTGAAGAACTTTGAGGAAGACATTACCTACAGTGCTGGAAAGAATTTCTGACATTTAAGACACAAAAATAAATTTTTAAGACATAATTTTGAAACATCAAGTGCATTTATCTCAGCTTCACTTTTTGGCAGCAAATCCCACCTTAATAAAACTATTGTTTCAGCATGAAACTATACTTAATATTTGCGGATTATATGCCGAAATTTTATCGAGCCGGCTATTATGAACTTAGATTTTGAATTTTCAGGTTCCTTTATTATGAAAAAATTCTAATTTGCAAAACTTCGCAAATGTAAAAAAAAAGAATTTCACAAATTTTTTTTACATGAAAATTGCATATTTTCTGAAATTTCCTTTCATAGTAACCGGCAACAAGTACTCCAGTATGCATTCCACGAGAGAAGTATGTGGTGATCAACACCATTTCTCAACGATAAATTCATTGAGCAGACTCCTCCATGCAGAGCTATGCTTTACTTCGTTTTGGGGTGGGGTGGGGGGGGGTGGGGGGGGGGGGGGGGGTATAGAATCTCATAAAATTGGTTCACAGGGCTGAACCTTTGCATGCTCTTTTTCTGTATGTCCACAAACACAACCTGTAAATTTCACGCCGATTGAGTGAGCGGTTCAAAACTCGTTTTAGCGCAAATGTAACACAATTCTAAGCAAAAATGGGATTTTGGGCGCATGATGCAGCAGACTTTTGTTTGTGATGCAAATGAAACGGCACTTCCATCACTGCGCCATATTAGTACTTTGAAACGGAAACTATCTGAACCTGCATTTGCACATACTCCACGAAGGTTTAGAACCGTTTAGATCCGCACGCAGTAAGAGCGCAAATTTTACACGCTAAAACCATGGAAAGAAGTCTTTTGTAGTACAGTCGAATCTTGTTAATTCAAACTCGTGAGGGATTGATAATTTGTTTGAATAAAGCAAAGCTTGAATTATCCGGAGTATCCCCCCATCGAGACACATATGTTGGGACCTCCAGGTTAGTTTGAACTAGCCGCAAGTTTGAATGAAGAGAGTTTGAATTAATGAGGGTATATGCGGGCTTTTACAGTAAGCGTGTGCAGTGCACGGAAGGCCCACTCGTGTCATCAACAGACAGGGGCGGTGCCAGGAGAGGGCACGGGAAAGTGGTGCACTCTTTTAAGATCTCCCGTCGGTCCAATCTGGGGAGAACGAGGGCAGGAGCTGCCATGCTCTCTCGTTCACACTGGGCATCGCGTCTGACCTTTTGAGTTACTGCGCAGTTGACATCACTTTTCCATGGTGCCCGTACGGGGTGTTTCCTTTTAATTCTAACAGATTTATTCAAAGAAGCCGCGAAATGTAGACCCATGCGATTTGTGCGAGTGAGTTATACTGCAAGGGGGACAGATTATAACGGGCTAGTTCCCACTATGAGTCACACTAAGATTTGTTTGTTAAAGGGAAACTGAAGCGGTTCTCTACTTGAGAAAAAACATTTCAATGGCCTTCATTCTACCTCCAGGATCAGGAATATCAAGATTATTTTTCAATTTGGTGCACGGAGGCTTCAGAAATTAGTTTTTAAAGTACCGCCGAAGCCCCTCCTTCCCGGGGCGTGACGTCACACTAGGAGCTTTTGGAATCTCTGCTCTCGCGCATCTTCAGCGCCTGTCAAAGCTATGCACGCGCACTCTTGCTATTTTCAGAAGGGTCAGAAAGAGATGTCACGACTGGTGTCAGTGCGGGGAAATATACCTGGCAAGCTTGCCGTTGTAAGCGCTGCCCACACGAGCGGCACGCGCTTGGCGGCCCGAATATCCTAGTATGACGTCACGACTGGTCGAATGTTTTTTCGCTTTTTCTCGCTTTTAGTTGCATCTTCAGGGGAAAAAAAGTGATATTCAGATTCACGGGATAAAAATACGCCAGAATTCACCTCTAACTCGTTTTTTTCAAGAAGTGTTTCAGCTTGCCTTTAACTTTTGACCTATTGAAAATATGGATATGGTTCCAATTAGAAACTTGATGAGCATCATTGAAAACCGATAAATCAGTTTAGAAAGATTTGAAGCGCGTGGGACGCAGGGGGTACAATGACGTTTCTACTCATCCGAAAACACTAATGAAAAGATTATCATTCCCATTTTCGAACCACCACCGTCGCACCTGTTGCACAAGTGGTGTAAACGTAAGTGTACCACCGTGCTTAGCACATGCTTCAGTGACTTCTAAAATTGACTGATTTAGTGGTCTCCAATGGGGGTGTGCGAATACCGAATAGTAGTTTTCGAATCGAATACCGAATCGAATAAAAAAAAGCCGAATATTGAATCGAATAGTGATTTTATTTGTAGGAATTTTTCAAAGTGTGCTGCGAATGAGATTATTATATGTGCAGAGTATGCGCCTGGTGCAGAATATGCATCTCGTACAAAACAAAAGCTCAAATGAATAAAAATTCTGGTGAAAAACAAAAGCAGCTGCTGATGGACGTTGGGCACAAAAGATCCAATTTTATGGCACAAACACAATCTATCTAACCTAAACGTCACAAAAACCCCAAAGTTACAGCCAGGCGTGCCTTTCTTTTTTTTTTTCTTGTTAAAAGCACGACCTAATACCTCAACATGTCCTTTTTTTTTTATTTATATATTTCAGAAAAAGGGCATTCTGCGATACTTGGTCTCAATTTTAAGGAAGAAAAAGGGCACCCGGGATTTTATTTCACATAAATTAACATATAGGGGTTAAATCTGAGTAAACAGGCTTAAACAATATAATCTGAAGTAAGAAAAAAAAACATGTGGTTAGGTGCCACAAGTCACCGTCCAACTGCCGCTATGCATTCATTTCTCCGTCCATCTATCCTGTTTTAGAGAGCCTAGATTTAAAAGAAAGAGCAAGCAAAACTGAAACTGCTGAAACCAACCGGCGGACACTTCGAGCGACTTCCGTTTAGCTATTTGAACGCCATCTCTTATCCGTTGGTATTCTATTAGGTCTTTCCGGTTTACGCCGGAAAGTTCATTTTGATAGGATGAGATACATATTATTGTTGCTGCTTACAGATTTCAAAAATTATCCTGGTAAGATGAAACAAATATCTTGGTCAGCTAGTTTCGCCCTCATACTTTGCTCCCATTGGCCGGTTGTTTTTTGTATTTTGACCGTTGAGAACAGTTGCGCGTCGGCTGCCGCGTTCGCGGATGCGTCGGCTGCTCGGCGGCGCCTGTGCCAGCGGTGCGGTGGTGGTTTTCGTTGGCGGCAGCGGGCAGTGGCGTTGGCCTATTGGTTATCGGTCTATTTCTGCTACCAGTACACAGAGCAAACGAAACCTTGTCTATTGCTCGACTCAGTGGTGCTCTAATTCCAGTGGCAACATCTCTGCCAAGTTCTTTGGGTTCCCGGTCGAGTGACGAAAGGTAAAGACGGGCTGCTATACTTTTGGTTATACAGTTTCGGATTGCCGAAAACTTGCTGGTGCATGTTTCTTCATGGTAGAGTTATTGTAGAAGGTCACAAGGGACAGCGCATGTATCTTAAAATGAGCGGTGTGGGCGGTATCGGTGTTAGAGCACCGCAGCTCGTGCGTGGAGCAGCTCGCTGCAGAAGGAGCCTGCGAGAGACCGTGGCGATCGAATCACTGTCGCTAACTACCGCAAAGTTAAATGTGTGATTGCAGGTCTGTGAATACTTGAATAGTAGTTTCGTGTAGATTTTGTTACTTTGTTGTGCCGTGCAGTGAACGTTTTTTTTTTTTTTTTCCTCTCTGTATAAAGAGCGTGCCTAATAAAAAGAGAACTTGCAAAAGAGGTTTGGACTTGTGCTCAGACTGGCGATGTGCGCCCATCTTAAGCCGCTAAACAGCAGCGGCTGGGCGTACTTTGCATTCATTGAGTGACCATTTTATGAGAACTGGCTGTCACTGAACATGCACTGTTGCCAAGCTGATATCAATCGAGCGACGCAAAGTCAAGTGCAATCGTTTCGGAGCGTCGGACATTCGGAAAAAAAAGGTAAACACATTGTATTGTAGAAGAACGAGACGGCGGCAATGGGAGCAGTTCCCTCTTCTCTCAATATCAGCGACAATAGGATGCAAATTCGTTCGGAGTTCGGAGGCTGCTCCGAACTCCGAACGAACTCGCATCCTTTTGTCGCCGAGGGTGAGAGAGACGGAGAGGAGGGACCACACTTCTCACACCCTCTCCCATAACCAAGCGGTTGCCATGACGACGGCGCGCGTATAGTTTTGTCTATTTTTTTATAACTTTTGGAGAAACCCAACGCCCGTTCGGGGAGATTTGGCGCTGCCGTCTGCAATTGCTGAAACCAACCGGCGGACACTTCGAGCGCCTTCCGGTTAGCTATTTCAGCGCCATCTCTTATCCGTAGGTATTCTATTAAGTCTTCCCGGTTTACGCCGGAAAGTTTATTTAATAGGATAAGATACATATTATTGTTGCTACTTACAAATTTCAAAAATTATCCTGGTAAGATGAAACAAATATCTTGGTCAGCTAGTTTCGCCCTCATACTTTGCTCCCATTGGCCGGTTGTTTTTTGTATTTTGACCGTTGAGAACAGTTGCGCGTCGGCTGCCGCGTTCGCGGATGCGTCGGCTGCTCGGCGGCGCCTGTGCCAGCGGTGCGGTGGTGGTTTTCGTTGGCGGCAGCGGGCAGTGGCGTTGACCTATTGGTTATCGGTCTATTTCTGCTACCAGTACACGGAGCAAACGAAACCTTGTTCATTGCTCGACTCAGTGGTGCTCTAAATCCAGTGGCAACAGCTCTGCCAAGTTCTTTGGGTTGCCGATCGAGTGACGAAAGGTAAAGACGGGCTGCTATACTTTTGGTTATACAGTTTCGGATTGCCGAAAACTTGCTGGTGCATGTTTCTTTATGGTAGAGTTATTGTAGAAGGTCACAAGGGACAGCGCATGTATCTTAAAATGAGCGGTGTGGGCGGTATCGGTGTTAGAGCACCGCAGCTCGGTAGCTCGTGCGTGGAGCAGCTCGCTGCAGAAGGAACCTTCGAGAAACCCCGGCGATCGAATCACTGTCGCTAACTACCGCAAAGTTAAATGTGTGATTGCAGGTCTGTGAATACTTGAATAGTAGTTTCGTGTAGATTTTGTTACTTTGTTGTGCTGTGCAGTGAACGTTTTTTTTCTTCTTCTTCTTCTTTGTATAACGAGCGTGCCTAATAAAAAGAGAACTTGCAAAAGAAGTTTGGACTTGTGCTCAGACTGGCGATGTGCGCCCATCTTAAGCCGCTAAACAGCAGCGGCTGGGCGTGCTTTGCATTCATTCATTGACGATTTTATGAGAACTGGCTGTCACTGGATCTCAATCGAGCGAGGCAAAGTGGAAGCGTCGGACATTCGCAAAAAAAGGTAAACACACTTTTTTTGTTCTAAAAAAGATTACATTGTATTGTAGAAGAACGAGACGGCGGCAATGGGAGCAGTTCTCTCTTCTCTCAACATCAGCGACAATAAGATGCAAATTCGTTCGGAGTTCGGAGGCTGCTCCGAACTCCGAACGAACTCGCATCTCTTTGTCGCCGAGGGTGAGAGAGAGGGAGAGGAGGGAACACACTTCTCTCACCCTCTCCCATAACCAAGCGGTTGCCATGACGACGATGCGCGTATTGTTTTGTCTATTTCTTATTTCTTTTGGAGAAACCCAACGCCCGTTATAGCCGATTCACACGACGGACTGATCCGCGGACGGATTGATCACGTGACAACATATCCGCGGTTCGTCCGTCTCCCAAGCGCATCCACACGAGGGAGACGACGAGCAGACGCCAGTGAGGACGGACCGAACCTGTTCGCACTCCACAGCGCCGCGAAACTCCAACATCGCACAGTAGCACCGTTGTCCAAGAGAGAAATCGACGGTTGCTACCGCGATAAAGAATAGTACGCCGCCGCTACGTACAGATCGAGAACAAAACACCGGAACAGGCTTCGCGCGAAGCGCCACTAACTTTACTAACCCAAAGCATGACAGTGACACAGGCATGATCCTGCCCGAGAAAGCTTCGGCGTAGACGCGACGAACTTCTGGGCTCGCGGAGGGGCGTTTGGAGATGCTTTCACACACTCCGCGCTCGTGCACAACACTCAAGCACACCACATCCACAAGAGAGGGCTTGTTCGGTGAAATCCTGATTGGACGTGCAAGAATTATCGCGGCGTTTTGACGGGGGCTTCTTGACACGGACCCGGAGGAGCACCGGAACCGGCGTTGCGTCAGCCGGACAAACTTTCTGGAGTTTCTCTCACGCGTGGAACCAAGAATCGTACGACAAAATGAACCAACAAACGCACAAAACGCAACGACGCGCCATTTTTGTTTTGAACGCACAGAAGCAAAATACCAAGAAAACCATGTACCGTTGCCAGACTAAATGCTTTCCAAGTCAGTCTGCCGCCAAACATCCGCGAGTGAAAAAGGCGCTCGACTTTATCAGTCCGCGCCTCCGCGGAGGAGGCGCGGACCTCAGGAATCGGTGACGTGCCGGTCACGTGGTACACGGTCCGCGGACGAAAATCGCGATTTGGTCCGTCGTGTGAATCGGCTATTAGGGGAGATTTGGCGCTGCCGTCTGCAATTGGAGTAGGAAGAGTCCGCCGGTTGCTGAAACCACGGAGACGGCTCCAGCGCAGACTGGTCGTAAATGCGCATGTGTTGTGTTGTCGCGTGAGAAAAAGGCGAGCAAACGGAAGAGCAACGACGCCTGCCATGCCTGCCCGATCCCGATCGATGCTTTCGTCTTTTCATCGCCTTCTCGCAGTTCGTAATTCAAACGCAGCTATCGAACGGTTGGAAACCCTTTGAAATCTAGGCACACTATTTTTCTGTTCCGTTTTGTTTCGAATCAGAACTTGTGGCTCCAAAAGAATGACGACGATAACTCTGCCAGTTTCATCGGTGTGGTTAACGTGGTTTTCTTCCTGTGATTGTGCAGTCGCCGATTTCTGTGAGTGCGGCAAGTGTGTTCTACATTGGCGCTTCAAATTGAAACGAGGGGCTTTACTCGTGAAAAGAATTAGGCATGGCACGGAATTCCGGCCTCGCAACAATCCCTTTCTGGAAGCTGCGCAAACGGAATGTTTCGGTTGTGATTCAAGGGTAGATTGTGTCACGACCACGAGTAAATCTGTGTGCTATAAAGTTTGTGGCGTTCCTTACTTTTCTTTTTTCTAACCTGTGCTTTAGATTTTTGTAGAATGGTAGGACCAAGAGGTGTTTCTCGCATGGCCTGTCTAACATCACGGCGCCAACACCGGGAGAAAAAACGGCTTTTTTGTCGGCTCCGCGCTGACCGCGCGTCTTTTGCCGAATATATCAAATATTCGAGTGACCGAATACTAGGAATTCGATTCGCGAATCGAATCATTCGGGAATTTTCTATTCGATTGGAATCCGTATATTCGAGTATTCGCACACCCATAGTTTTCAATGATGCTCAGCAAGTTTCTAACTGAAATCATACGTATACTTTCATTATTAAAAATTAATGAACAAATTTTACTTCAGTATTCGAGTTATTAAGAGGATTATCTCCCTGTGTTATGTCCCCCTGTCGTATAACTCGCCTGCACAGACTACATTAGTCTATCTTTGGCGGCTTTTTCTAAGTAAATCTGTTCCAACGAAAATCAAACACCCCATATTCTATAACCAATTTACTGTTCAAAGTGGCTTTTGCATCATTATGTATTTACTACATCCACATCCTGGGGAAAAGTTCAATGTACCAGACTGGTTCCTGTAGTGCAAGAAAGAAGCCAGAAAGAGAAGCGCTCAAAACACGCATTGCAGTTTGGGCCTTCGCTGACCATCTGGTATATGAGGAAAAAGCCCGACGAGGAACGACCACCACTTGCCTTGGGCCTGGTGATGATGTCGATGTGCTCTGCCCTGTACATGATGGGGATCTGCACAGACAGCCTGTTCTGGAGCCAGGTGTGGATGCCGGGGAACAGGGAGCCCCCTCCCACCACCAGCACGCAGCTGAACATCTTGCGCTTCATCTCGTCGCAGTCTGAAACGGCGGGGTTCGTCCCCTCTGACCACCCGGGTCCTGCGAGTCCCTCTGGGCGCGGCCCCATGCGGTGCCGCGGTCCCCGCCGAAGTGAGAACGGCAGGGAGAAGCTTCGGCTGCCGACCGCCACCCGGGCGAGGTTCCTACCTTCGACGCCGCTTCGACGTCTCGGACACCTCGAGCGCGCACGGCCAGAGCACAGCGTTCCAAAGACACGCCTTGCCGTTTTCTTTCCGTCAATGACTACGGCGTGGCATTAATTATAGTGTCAAGAATGGAAAAAGGTAGACAAATGTAAAAATTAAAATAAAAGTTTAATAGAGCGAATTTGCATCTCAAACAAGTAAGTACCACACATCCTGCGAAGTAAGGGTGACTGACCCAAAGCGGAGCATTACCGCCACTTTTGTCGACGCAGTACGATAGGAGACATACTAAACCAAAAGACACTATCACAGCCGAGAATGGGCAAAAACCTTCTAGAAGCTAATGTCCATAGAAGAAAAGAACCAGGCCAAGTCAGGTTCCTACCCCGTTCCTCTGTGTGGCAGCCACAGTGCGTTGCCCACTCCACCACGCACGCGGAAATTGCCAATTGCCGAAGAACCGAGACAATCGTGTGCCCATGCTCTGCATGGGCAAAATACATTGTCGAAGTAAAAATATGAAGTGTTTAAGTTCCGAAAATGCGGCAAAGTGACATCCATTCTCAATGTCTCTTTCCCAACCAATCCTCCCTTTTGCCTTTTGCTGTCATCTGCGACTAGGCTCTGGCGCTTGCATTCTTCTTCTCCTCATCAAATCTAGGAAAGTGCCCAGATGTATTTGTATTTCGACTTTGCTGCAGCGAAACAAATTGAATTAAAATCATCTGGTGGGCTAGTGGGCTACACATCTTGGTAAAATTAGAGCAAAGACAAGGAAGGAAGAACGTAGACACGATAGAGCGCTCTATGCTGTCTCTACATTCTTCCTTCCTCGTCTTTGCGCTAATTTTACACCAAAAAAAAATAATTTATGCTGACCAGGTAATTGAAAGTGAACTGATCTAAAGCTCAAGCTCTCAAACTGGATTCGTAGGAACCCTGGGGCTTCCCAGGGTACATGGGGAGTTTCTCAAGCTCTCATCTATCCTCGGCTGTCCCCAGCCGTAAGTAGCATTTTCTTTCGGTCATGTTTCATATCTGAGACATCCTTCCATGTACAACCCAAGTGGCACCCAAAGTGTGTCCTCCGATTAATCAATGCTCGGCCATTGTCTGGCCAGCTTGATCACATACAAGTTGTTGGCCAACAGAGACGAGAGCACGGCCGGCAAGTGTTCAGCCAATGTCCATCCTTTTTTCATATTGGGCCCTGGAGACGAAACTTGGCAAACAAGGCCCTGGCTGACGCCGCTGGTTTTCGGTTTGGCAACCGGAGATAGAAACGCAACCGGCAAGTGTCCGGCCACAGACTGTCCGTTTTCGGCTTGACCATTAGAGACGAAAATATGGCTAGCGAGGGTCTGGCCAACACCAATTTTTAGCATGTTCGTTCACCACCATATATCCTCATTGCCTGCCGATCTCATGCCGATTTCACGACAAGACTCCTCCTTGCACTTTCTATTGCAAAGTACAAGGTGTAAGGTGAAGGTCCATAAACCAAGCAACCCCAATAGAGCAGTTGGAGACGATCCGGGTGTCCCCAGCTCACCGCAGCGGTCGACGCACTGCACGATGGCCTGGTCGATGCCCAGCAGCTGGTCACACTGGAGGTCGCCCTCGCAGTCCCGGGGAGCAACCGTTGAAGCGGCAGCCTCCGGGGGCACCGCGACGTCGTCGTCTTCCAGGACACCCTGTCCCAGCTGGCTGTCGTCGAGCTGAGAGGCCGCATCCAGCGCCTGCGACCCCTCCGCAGCCTCTCGTGCCCCTCTTCTCTGCATCGAACGCGCAGACACGCGTTAGACCCCTAGCTTTCGAGTCTTGAGCGGAGCCCCGGGCGAGTGAAATCGAATATTTTTAGGTTGCATTTCGGTTGCGCTTTGTTAAGATATTGCACATTTCTCAAGGACACCATGAAAGAAAACAGCAAGCTCGAAAAAACTCGCGCACAATTGGATGCTGCATTGCCACTTTTATGGTCACGTTCCGCGAACGATAGACGGATGCACTTTCAAAGCAGAGAGAAGGGCTTTTACCGTGGAGAATGGGTACAGAAAAGACAACTACAAATGCAACTGTCTAAACAGAGCTTTAACGTACCTAGAAATAGTCAAGCAGGTTCTAACCGACAGCTTCGAAACAATGTCTTTCGACTCTCCTGCCTCCGGCACGAGCATTCCCTTTCGAATGTCGAACTGAACGGAAGACTATCCGAATGAATATTTAAAGACTGGAGAATATCTACGGGTTTTCCCGCACCGCGAGACCGGAGAATGTCTGAAGCGGCAAACTTGGTGCCTCACTTGCCTGCGTCTGAATCAGGTAATTGTCGTCGTGGGGGTCCTGAGGGTCCCCGGGGTTCCTCGACTGCACACGCGCCTGCTTGGGCCCCGTGACCCCCAGCATCTCGGGACGGAATAGGGCCAAGGGGGCGATGAGGCACTCGTCGCCTACCTGCAACCCCCGACAAAGCACACACGATCCGTGCTTACGCAAAGACTGCTTCGTAAAGCACTCCACGCACTTCTTGAGAAACAAGAACCAGACACCTTTGTTACTAATTCCACGGAACGAGCACGCGAGATTAAATATGAACTATCACGTAGCACTGCCCCTGCACAACATAAAAGTTTTTTCTGCGTAATCCGTGCAAAATTCGTGCAAGTACAGTATTACCGTAAAATACCGCGCATCCGCCCATTCCACATTAAGCGCCCATTACCAAATTTGTGAGATCTGAGGAAATACGTACAGTACATTTATGTGTAAAATTCATGACCGGACAAGCACCCATCCCCCATTTTTTTGCGATTATCTCCAAAGTTTGAGTGGGCGCTTGCCCGGTATTTTACGGTATTATTACTACTCAAAATAAACTGTACTAGTGGGATTCAAACCGAGTACTCTGCACGAGAGCAGCGTGTACTACCAACTCGGCCCCACATGCGGCAGTAAAGGAGACTCACCAGTTTCAAAGCGCAACATTATCCAATTATACTTTGACAAAAAATATTAGTGAAGGAAGGAGTGGTTCACGTAGGCGTCCAATCTGACCTACAGCTTGTTTTTTTAGCAACTTACACACAATCACGTGCAATCCTTTGAAGACGAGCTTGTGCACATTTATCCTGTTCGAGCAGAGAGTCCCAGCATTGTTCTCTAAATGCTGACATTTTGCCCAACCTGTTCTGCACGACCAACTGTTCACTCGCAAGCCCACCTTGATCCTGTACTCGAAGAGCGGCATGGATGGCTGCTTCACTTGGAAAGAGCGTTCCTGGGCGCCACAAATGTCCTGCGCAGAAACAGCACCATGTCCGAGCGAGCGTTCAGGACCCAGCAAGTCATTATCAAATGTACCAGTTTCTAACATTGTATAAAAACTGTTCCAAATTAAACTCTAGAGTTAGTAACATACCTACCTAACATTTATCACTTTAGATTTGCATCGCCTGTCCAGCTTTGTAGCATCGAATCTCGTCCTGCTACCTATAATTGCCTGCACTTTTTGTCGGTTAAATTCCACTAGTGCTTCTCTACAGCAGTAACTTTTTCCAGGATATTTAAATATTTGCCATAATCAATGCTTTCACTATATATCAGTACCTTAAGAACCCATAGCACTATTACAAGCTTACACCAACTTTGTTTCACTACGTCTATATCTTTGTGATGTCAGTCTTTACCATTCACAACTCCAATGTTGTGAATACCGTATTTACTCGCACAATGAACGCACTCGCGTAATAAACGCACCCCCTAAGTCGGCTCTCAAAATTTCGACTTTTTTTTTCACTCGCGTAATAAACGCACCCCCAACTCGGACGTCAAAATTTTGACCGCCTCCCGCCTCCCCCCACGCGCGCGAAATGAACGCACTTTTCTACCCTGGTGCAGCGAGGTCGCAAATGCATGGGCAGCGTGGGCGAACAAAACGCCTTGCAAAAGGGGTTAAAAAAAAAAAAAAAAGATCCAACGGAAGCAAAAAAAAAAAAAAACATGGAGAGTAGCTTTTTTTTTTTTTTTTTTTTTGCACAGTGCAGTTTGGACTTTGGTTTCGCGCGCCGCCGCGCGCAAGAAGGTAAGAAAGAGAAGCGGAGAAGCGCTCTAAGCGAACGAAACAGCTTGCGAAAGGCGGCAAAAAAAAAAAAAGAAAGAAAGAAACCACGGAACTAAAAAAAAACAATAAAAAGAGCTTTTTTTTTTTTTTTTTTTGTACAGCGCAGTTTGGTTATTGGGGGTCGCGCGCCGCGCGCAAAGAGGTACGCAAGAGGATCGGAGAAGCCCTCTAAGCAAACGAAAGAGCTTGCGAAAGGCTGCAAAAAAAAAAAAAATAACCCACGGAACTGAGAAACAAACAAAAGAAAAAAAAAGCTTTTATTTTATTTTTTTTTTTTTTTTTTTTTTTTGCACAGCGCAGTTTGGTTACGGGGTGTCGCGCGCCGCGCGCAAGGAGATAAGCAAGATAAGCGGAGAGCCCTCGCCTAAGCAACGCCTAAGCAAACAAAACAGCAAGAAAAACACAAAACAAAGCTTTTTTTTTTTTTGCACAGTTTAGTTTGGTTACGGGTCGGGCGCCGCGCGCAAAGAGATAAAAAGTTACTTCGATTTTTCAGGATAAAAGGTGGGTTCATTCTGCGAGTAAATACGGTAGTGCAGTACTTCTAATATGGCAGAGGAGTCGGGGACAAATGTTCTGCAGACCCGTTCGCCAACGTTGGTCAGTGTGCCTAAATTAATTTATTCAGTTAGAAATGTGACGGCAATGCAACATGATCGAGCACTGGTGAAGACTGACTCGATACAGCACCGTAGTGTTCCCGTATACCTTCAAGGCTGCCTAGCACTGGTTTTTCTGGCTCTATCGCTTTTATCAAATTACCGCTTATATCGAATTTGTTTGCTCTCCCGTTGACTTTGTTATAACGAGGGATTACCGCATATTCAACAAAGGAAGCGTCAAGCACCGATTTCAAGGGGTGCCTATACCAGGTTGACGTGGCACATGGTCTCCTTGAGCTCCTGCAGCAAGATGGCGTCGGTGGCCTTCCTGGCGTCGCACTCTTTGTAAGGGAAGCCCGACTTCCTCAGCAGGTAGTGGAACAGGTGGGTGATGTCCGCTCCCCCGTACTCCATCACCAGCCTGCACGGAGGGTGTGGGTGACATCCAACACGCAGGCAATAGCCAACCTCTCAAGTGGATTTTGAGGTCATCTTTTTACAACACCGACTCAACCTACACGACCTGAGCATCGTAGAAACCAAGAATTACAATCGTGCGTGGCCTTTTTCTTTGTCAAAAACGCAACCAAACATCGCAACATGCCCTTTTGTCCCAAGCATGGGATGCTTGGGCTGCATAGGTTGAGTCTGCACCATAAAAAGACAATCTGGAGATTCACTTTAGTGCTCTTTTACCAAATTAACAGTAAAGCGCGTCGATGAAGTTGACTCGACACAGAGATAATAAAAGAAACTCGGGACAAGGGATGATGAACATGTCTTCGTGAAAGACATGTTCGTCGTCCCCCGTCCAGAGTTTGTTTTATTCTTTCTGCGTCGAGTCAAAAATTCTCCATTAATGGTGTAAGGATCCAAGACCACGGCGTAAGTAAAGCGATGTCTTGGTGAACTACTGCTACAAACACTTCCAGTAACGATACCTTAGTAAAAATAAAGGTAGCTAGATCTTACGGATAAGGGGACACGGAATGTGCGGCCTGTTTTGAGCTGCATGGGTGTTTATGATCTTTTTCCGAGCTCAATGTGCGTACCTTCTTTTTGCCGATTCTTGCATTGACAATACGTCCTTGAACGGACCGCATACCCTTGTCTCGTAGGAGCCATTTCAATACACTGGAAGCGGCACAGCCTGCGGCCGGACTTGTATAGGAGTCTACGACAACAATCACATTGCCCAATGCCATTCCGTGACAAGGTTGTGCGACTGCCTCTGGACCCCGATTACTTGCACATAGCGGCCGTAAGCGCTCTCGTTCGTGTCCTGCAGCTAGTGCAGAGGCAGAGCATTGGACTGCAAAACGTTTGATTCGTGCGGCGCAATGTCTGGTACTTGTTTCCATATAATTAATTTATTATAGTTATCAATTAGGGAAAACTAACATCTCCCTTATAATTATCATCATTCATTAATGGTAATTTATATAATTATTTACGTCGCCACGTAAACAGGTGATGGTTTTTCGCGACGCTCTTTCATAATGTTACTCTCACCTCGTGGAAACCAGCCCTATAGCACACCCTGCAATAATATTTATGCAGCAGGTCTATCCACTGCCATAAATTACATTCCCTATTTGCAACTCCAGCGCACCGCTCGCCCTCCCGCGGACAAATGGAGAACCAGAGGAGCGGGGACAGCCGCAGCGACGGCGGCGCGGAAACGGTGGCAGGGACTGTCGGCCTTGATGCGTGAAGCCGTTTTAACGAAGAAAGTGAGCACGTTAAAATAGGAATTATTTGTTCCACCTTGCAACAACGTTGCACGAAGGACCAGGATGTCTAATTTCATTAGGGACTTTTCGGATATCCCATACGCTGCAGGTTTCTGGTCTTGTGCATGACCGCCAGCTCAATCTGTGCTTAACGTGACGGCGGCAAACGCTCACACTAATAATGTAGAGCTCTATAGAACGGTCAACGAAAAGTATTTTTTGCCATAAGTAGGAGAAAACTCGTCGTGTAACAGTATGTTGAGCAATACACATCGGGAATGGGTTCGCGTTTTAAGGCCGTTACAAGGAACGTGACCATTTATTCCAAGCACTTTCAAAAGACAAAATACGCGCACTTGCTTTCAGGTATTTACTAAGCAAATAAAGAAATGTTCGAAGCATTTCAAGTGCGCCTGTGTTAGCCAGCCGTTCGTAACGAGAGCTTAGAACGGGCAGTTGTGGCGAGAGTGGTCGCAACGCTGCAAATAACATGGTACAAAAAATGTACGGTATATTAAAATATTTATTTTTGATAGAGCGATAAATTCCTCTTAAACACGCCGATTATGTTAATAGCCAGCTTTAGCATAGCATACAACACCCCTAAACTTAAGATGGACGTACAACGCACTGACGTTCAACCGACGCCACCAACTTTCACGAGCGGCTTGATAGCCGAGTTGTACAAGTTATTAAAATAGCTTAAATAAGTGTAAATGACTGTAAAAAAAAAAAAAAATTAATCGGGTTTTATTTATTTTTTTGTTCCACTGCAAAACCTCAAGTGCTTTTTTTTTTTTTTTTTTTTTTTTTTTTTTACTTTTTGATGCGTACTTTAGCGCCTTAATATCTTATATTGCACCGTCATCAAGCCTCTCGTAAAAGTTGGGGCCGTCAGTTGACGTCAGTGCGCTGCACGGCGAACTGAAGTTTTGGGGTGTCGTATATGCGACAAGGGGTGTAAGGACTACAACATTTTCTTTTAGAGTGGAGTAATTCTGTAGAGCGAAGAGCACAGCAACGTTCCTGGCGGGCGCTGAAAATTGTGCTTCAAAGCCGCAGCGCGAGCTTCCGTTTGTAATGCTACACCGCATGGTACACTACGGTAACAAACTTGCTATCAATAACCATAGAGCAGTTTGATCACGTGTTGCAATACACTAAAATTGAGTCAGTCAGTACTGAGCAGCGAGTTGTGAGCCTGTGACACAAAGACATCAATATTGTGAACTCTGCCCTTCCAAAGCTTGGCGGTCATCGTTCGCGACTCACTTTTTAGAGCACCAACGGCCAGGCAAAGTGCAAACATGATATTTCATCACCCTCTAAAATATTCTGCCACAAACGGTAACGTGGACGGTGCCTAAAACGCGCTCGCCCACCACAAAGCTTCGCAAGTTGAGGGTTCCAGAAATCTTTAAATATGAGCATGCTCGTTTTGCTAACGCGAATCAACATGCCTGTCACCTGTAATATGATACCTCCCCAATCGCTTGGCATTTGTTGACAAATAAATCAGTTTTAGCGCGCTGACCAGCGTCAGCGAGCAGGCGCACGGGAAATACTGGAGAATCTATCCAAGTCTCTACCGCCATCTTGAAACTACCACCCCGCCACCTATAGGGCGTTGGAGTTGCGAATAAAGAGACAGGCCGTGTTGCAAAATTTACTCAAACCTCCTCCACGGTCAGGGAGTTGTACCTTGGCGTTCTAAAACCTACCCGCGTCCATGGTTTTTCAATATAGTATGTGCTGTCACGTGATACGGCCCGCCGGAGTAACTCGAATCTATTTGGGTAAGATTTGGAACACAGCCACAGTGAACTCGCCCAAGAACTATTTTTCAATGCTTAGCATACATAGGGCCAGTTCTGGCACTTTTGTGTCCGTGCCTCGGGTGTAGACTCGAGAGCATGCAGTCACTGATTTGACGTCCAGTCGGAGGCTGCTCTTGGAGCGGGCACCTTCCTCGGTGCGGCAGCAAAGCGGACTACACCTACCACAAAGGCTCTCGCTTGTGGGTTTGTGAACCCCCCAAAGGGGTGCAGGGGCAAGAACAGCGGGCGCAGCTGGGTAAAAGGAAACGAGCGAGGGACGCAGCTTGAAAATGACCCCAGCAGGCCCAGCAGCGAGAGGCCACTGACCATTACACGGTGGTTGACCGGCGGTTGGAGTGCTGGTTCACATACAATCCATTCAGTGCAGTGGGTAATGTCAGAGAAATAAAGGGCCATGGTAACATGTGCCACAGGCTGTGATTTCGGACAAACGTAAGTAAAGGCGTTCTAAATGCTGCGCATTTAGAATGCCTTCGGGAAATGCCCCAGAGAGAGCCTATTTTTTTGAAGAGCCTGGCTAAGACATTACAAAGTAAACTTTTCTAGAAAAAAAAAAGAAGTTTAGAGCAACATGCTTTCATTATGAAAGTCCACCCCGAAATGGAAGTACTATCTTTCGGAGTCGCTCAAGTGAGAGATGTAAATTTTTTGGGGGGAAGGGGAAAGTTTATTTGGAGATATATCCGTCCCACCCAGGCATTTAAAAAAAACATAACTTTAGGGGAGTTTAAAGCCCCTTTAAGGGCACATATCGTAGGCGGATCTGGCCGCACGGGAGACCAGGTCAGGACTGGGAGCCCAAGGGGCAGCCGGCTCACCTGGTGGCCCTGGTGGAGATGCCGTCCTCCACGCAGCTCACGCTGGTCTTCTGATCGCCCACGTCCACCACGCAGGCGTAGCTCAGGCCGGAACCAAAAGTGGCACACACGGACTCCTGCGGGCCGGAACACCCACTAAAGCGCGGTTCTGGGGTCTGGGGTGCAACAATTTCAGGGCTTTGCTTAAATAATTGTGGAAGTTGATGCCTGACACTTCTGTAGTGAACTACAGAAAACAGATTTTGCCTGGATACCCTAGTTTTTATTTTAAAAAATGAAAAAGATCCAGGTTTTTGCCGCCTCTCAACTCGTACATCGTCTTCCGGGTCACGTGCGCAGTGACATCACTTGAGAAGGCACGGGGTTCCGGAAAAGTTCTCTCTTTAGAGCCATCAGTGAGCAGCGAGAACTCATCCGCTCGCGACCGCGTGACCACGTGCTGGCGGGCGCCCCGCGAAATATACGGTGAAAGGAGGAAAGTCTCATCCGGGTCCGGCCATACCCGTCCTTGCCCGTCCGGCGCTGTCCCCCTCCCCCTCCGGCTTCTGGCGACTATTCGCGGTTTTGTAGACCTAGGATAGATGGCGCCACTAAAACTCCGTATAATAAAAGTTTTGTCGATGATACCAGGGTTTTGACGCATTTATATATATGTTCGAACGACAAGATTTATAGAAAAGTTACCTTTTATCGAGCAGGTATTCACACAACTTGCTATCTTTTCTACAACTACCCAAGCGACGTCACATCGCTTGTTTCTCATGGCCGCCGCTCGTGGCTGCAGGTCGGGAAATATTCTAAGTTTTGCCTTGCTATTACACGGCGGAATCGCAACATTTCGATGAAAGGAGGTGTGTTTTCTGCCATTTGTGACACAGTGAACAATATCAAAACCAGAAAATGCCAATTCTTTCAACGTTAAAATCGTTGCACAGCTCCTTTAACTCTCAAGGGAACAGCCAAAGACCACGATGCACATTTGTGCCGGAGCTTGCTCGAGTATGTTTTGAGCGTGCTCGATCATGTTCCGCTTCCTCGTAACTGGTTTCGACGAACAAACATGCTGGTGCTGTCTATCGGTAACCCTGGAACACTTACGAGACTAAAGGTTTTGCATTATTTGAATGTTTTGCGCTATTAGAACGTTTTTCATTATTTGCAAGGTCAAACCTACGCATTATCTAAGAAATGGTCGCCAAGCATTGTAAAAGTTATTTTGAGCCCGCAGAAAAAAAGAGATACGAAAAAATGAATAAAAACAATTAGGCCAAAATTGTCGCCGTAGCAACGCCGATTCTCGACGAAACGCATCGGCATTTAGACGGGGGGTTCTGGCTCTGTAAAGGACGAGAATTTCAACCTCACAACGGTCCGCATGCTGTCGCACTCAGAGAGCCGGTTTGTTCTCCCGGGTGTCGGCGGTTTCGGTAACGGCCGGCACGGCTTCCTCCCACTCCTGCAATGCGTAGTTGGAAGCGTGCCAAAAGACTATTTCTTAAGAGGGAAAGTGGATGTAAGTAGCAAATGAATAGAGCAAGTGAGTGTGGCAAGAACCGTGCTGCAGCCTTACAAAGCCGGTCCAGTTCAAACCAAAGATGACTGCGTGCACCGAGGCGAAAAAATTCCGACGCATTTAATATATATACGCGAGGCGGAAGTTTTCTGGGGCTTCCGAAACGGTAACATCAGCATGTTTGTTTTTTCGAAAGCGGTTATGAGGGAACGCAACGCACTTTGGCACAATCACACGCAAATGTGCGTGATTTGCAGATGATTTGTCCGCTAACAAAAACAAAGAATGGGGTTTGTCCGCTACAAAGCATCATTCACGAATGAAAATAAACCAGAAAAACACCTTTGAGTCATCCGCTATAAATAAAAAAAGTTGGCTGCCCGTTACAAATGAAGTGTAGCGGATCATTGGACGGGGCTCAAGTTGCAATCACCCACCACTCCGCGTTCTAAATACTTGATGATGCGTGCTTCCTTTGCAAATCTTTATCTGTTTTGTCGCGGTACTTAAGCTGAAATCCAGCGGAGAATAAAAGAGTATTCGAGACGTATATATCGGAGGCCACAAGATTTCTCCATCCGCGTGTTGGCGAAAAGTTCTCGCCAAAATAGTGTCCAACCGTGGATTCGCAACTTGGTAAAAAATTTGGCATTGGTCAATAATCCTCGCCTGCCAGAACGCTGCGACAAAATGTCCAATCCGCAGCAGATAAAGCTCTGACCCTCACTATTAGCACTGAGAATGACCGGTGCCACCCAACGACCCCTCGTCGTAACGTGGGACCCGTAATCGTGGGACTGTTTCTTCGCTTTAGTTGGTAGCATGTAGGTTGAGAAGCTTCATTAGTAATCCATAATTAATTAGCTATGTTGAATGTGTTTAGAGTTTAAATTCAATTCAGTTTATTTCTTTCAAGGGGTACACTCCTTGAAAAGGCCCTTGGTGGAAAGGCAATAGTGTCGCCTGACGAGGCACCAAGGTCCAACAGGAGTGGCGGCAAGGTCCAACAGTAAAGGGTGGGGGGAGGGGGAACTTCGGATATAGTATGTGCAGTAAAAAAACGCTCACTTTGTTGCTCAAGGAAACAGGCTTGCTCTAAACAAGAAATGTGTCACATTTGTGATATATTTCGGTGGGTGGAAACGGCTCATGTTCCATTCTTGCACTTGAGCAGGCAAACGTCTGTGCTACTACGCCGCTGCATTTCCCCGCCCGACCGGCGCCCATCAACCAATAACGAGTACATTTACGCATAAGTACCTTAATGCAAGACTTGTCCAGGTACCCACTCTGCTTACGGCTGTGGAACTGACGCAGTCAAACTAGCACTAGTGTTAAAAAACACAAACTAGTGTTAAAGTGCGGCTCGCGGCTCCCTCCCCCCCCTCCTCCCTCCCCTCCTCTCCCTCTCCCCCCCCCTTCCCCCCCTGCCCCCCTCCTGGTCACACGAGCACTTCCCCAAAAAGAGAAATGGAACACGTGTTAAATCGAAAGACGGGCTGAGGTTTGGTAGTCTTGTGCTACTGCTACCTTACATACGACTGATAGTAGTTTGAGTTCCGCGTCCACCGCGGGTACGTTATTATCATAAATGAGAGGAAATGCAACCTCCGTATCGGCGTTATTGTTAAACATCGCAAACATTTGAGCAAGAGCTGCGAAAAATGGCACTGCGAGCAGAGACGGACGAGGAGTGTCGTCTGCTATCGCCGTCTGCTCTTGTCGTCTGTTTCTGCACGGACGCTGAACTGAGTCCGGAGCCGGTGCAAGATTTTGAGGAACTGGGTCTGAACTCGTTCAGAACTGGGATGAATCGAATGCGCCAGTGCAGCGGTCGTGCAACTTCCGGTTGACTCGAATGCACCAGTTTCTGCACTGCTGAACTAGTTCAGCCAGTTCAGGTGAATCGAACAGACCTAAATTGACTGATCCGATTTGGGCGAGGAGTGGGTGGACGTAGTTTAATATTGTTGGCACAGCATCACACCTCAGCTTACGAGCCTTCTGTCCGCTTAGAGCTCAGCTCGTCTGTGAGATGATTGCTGCATAAGCGGGATCTCGATCTTGACGGGAACCCAGTCCCTATGCACGACGACATGCCATTTTGCTTGTCACTGCACGTCTCGCGGAAAAGTGTGGAACGTCAAGTCTCGGCTCGCATGTGCTGCCCGGTGGTTGTGGCACCGAACTGTGCAACAAAAATCTCACGCAACCAAGAAACAAGTCCAGCACAACAACAAAAACAAAACACTCTGAGGCGTTCACTCGCAGGCAAACGACGAGACAAAAATGCTCGTTTTGTGTTTTCTGACGTCAGAGCTTCAATGTTGCCAACGAAAGCGGCGTTTATGCTAGAATGCGGTTGGAGCAGTATAAATTCAATTACCCACTAGGAGGGGCATATAAAATTCAGATATTGCACGTACAATGAGTCTCGAGGCAATAGCAATGATATTCAATTGTTTTCTCGAATACAAAATTTGACCGGACAACCCCTTTAAGCGATGGAGATGCGTTCCCACGGCTTCTAGCGGATCCAAGCTGATCCGCCAGAAGAACCACTGGCTCTGCCTTTCACCGAACATAAAGCAGTAATAATGAAGTCGAAACGCAACCCTTAAAGGGCTACTCCACCGATTTTTCATTGTCTCCGATTTGCTTGAAATTTTGCTAAACTAACCAACAAACATCGCGAAAATAGTATCCCAAATATTAGGTCAAAATATTGTTTTTTCGCGAAGTTATTGAATTTACAGTTTTGGTCCTCACCGTGTTTTTCAAGATCGAAGTCTCTACTGGCAACAATGAAAAAGTGACGTCAGTGGAAGGCAGGGGTTCACTCTTTGGGCTGTAGATTTTGTTTTAAACTGATTCGAAGCAGTTTCATGGTGTCAAAAGAATGCTTGGGAAGCTCGCTGCAGTACCCGCGCTCCAGCACGGAACAAATGATTGGCATATTCTATTTTTTGGCTGCTTGCTGGACTGACAAGCCTGCCTGCCACTGACGTCACGGCCCTGAAAAGCGCGCGTATATTTGAATGTTGGTTTTTGCATCATTTTCATTTGCCGATTTCGCAATAACTATTATGAATTTCGCGATTCTACATAGCATACCGGAGAGAGTAAAGGCCGGGGAGTCATAAAATATAGTTAGTTGAGGTAGCTCAAAAAATCGGTGGAGTACCCCTTTAACGCAGCACTACCTATGAGCAATAAAAAAAAGAAATCAGCACCATCAGCACTACCTATGAACAATAAAATCAGTATCATCAGCACCACCAGAGCTTCACCCCAGTCAACATCATTCACCACGTGGAGATGCGGCCTCTTTTTCTCCGAGGGATGTTTGGACTGTTTGATATAAACAATAATTCGAAATATCCAACTGTGATATAACCGGGCTTGACCGTAGCCTTTCAATTCTAGAAAAACAAAAAGAAATGCAATCACTCGTTTGTGTTATTTGCACAGAGTCCTAGTCATACACTGAAAATATTGTTTGCAATTAAAGTTTGCTCTGTGCATTTTATTTGATTTTACGGCATTTACAAAGACACATCCTCACCAGTGCCAACCTCAGGCTGTTAGCCTTGCCCATTTACGACTCCCCACTCTACCGATTTCTTTGTAGCACAAAAACATGTATAGATGAGCTCCAGGCATATCTATGCATATTGAATGCATAGATGCATAATGCATATTGTATAGATGCATAATGCAAATTAAATGCGCACTATGCACTTTAACATGCTCCAAGCACCATAAAATGTGTGTACACATCGGGTAATGCATGAAACACAAATGCAAGATTATCGTAGTGGTAGTCGGCAACCAGCTCACGGTTTACATTGCATAACCCTGACGAGCCATAAGCATTAAAAAAGGTTACTTTCCAAAGTGCAGATACTATAACGAATCCCAGATGTAGCAAGCATATTTCCAATACCCCTCGACTCCAATAACGCCAGGTCCAACTGTCCACAGAACCTAGAGACTAGATTCCCCTTTCCACTTACTATAATCCGTTTCATCTTGCAACCTACTGCTGCAGAAGCTACGAACACCGTGAGTCAATCCAGAGCTCTATGCGTGCCACGTGACTTCAACTTACGAGTCGCTCTACCCAATCAGAAAGTCACGTAACATGCTCCAAGCTACGAAGTGGCTCTCGTTGCTCACAGCTTCCCTCGCAGCGTAACGCAGTGTAAGGGAGTATGGTGCAGCTGGGCAGTCGGAGACCAGGAAACCAAACCATTCCAGCACTCACCAGGTGGACAAAGCAGGCCGCAAAGCCGAGCCGAGACAGCAGGACGTCCACCATCTCCCGTATGTGGTCTCTGTTGTACACATCCGGGATGATCAGCACCGCCCTGTAGTGCTGGGGTCGAAACGAGCAAGATTAAAAGTCATTTTTCATACGGCAAGCTGGGACTTTCTGGGAAAGTAGCGCCACTTCCTTCCCTGCCTGCTAGCCTGACACACAGATACCGACATACAGATAACAGAACCTTTCAGGGTGATTGGCTGATCGATCTCAGTTGCCATGGCGATCAACATTTTGGGCCTTTGAAGCTTCGAAGGGGTCATTCCGACCAGTCGCAACCAAGATCGCAATGGAGCATCATTGTCCTGAAAGCGTTCCTCGGCCAATGTAAGCGTCTTTTACGCCCCAGATCTCTTATAATTATGTTGCTCATCCAGCGTATTTAGAGGCAGGAAAATTACTTACCCCTTCGGAGACTGAGAGGCCCGAAATGACCGGTCACCAATCACCTTGAGAGATTGTTTATTTAATAGATCAGCTTGAACTTTTGAATTTCACTTGAACACGAACAAAGAAAGGATGGGAGAGGAGAAACAGCCGGCTACCAACGGTGTCTTAGTGTAAACTTCTTTTTCCACGTTTGCTTCTTCATTCAGAGGCCAAAGTAGAGCACGAGAAACTTATTACATGCCTGAATAAACCTATTGCACTACTAACAGATTACTACCGATAATTACACTTAAACAAAATGATACAAAAAAATTATAAAGAAACACCTAAAAATTATTGTTTTTGAACTGACCCTCCACAACCTCATGTGGTTGTTCGGGGCGTAACACTTTGTGCGTATTGTCTTCTTTTCTTGTGGACGGTGATAGATGGTGAAGAAGCAAACGCGGAAGCAAGAGGTTTACACTAAAACACTGTTGCCAGTCAGCTGTTCTGTCACCGTCCATTGCTGATCTGTCCCTGTCTCCCAAGCCCAAGATGGCCAAGAAACGACAAGCCCCATCTCTCGGAACTGAACAGAGCATTGTCAAAGATGTCAAAAGTGGCACAAAAAAAAGCTTTCTTCGCAGCCAAGTACAGCATCGCTGACACAACGGTTTCTATTGTCTGGAAGAACCGGGAGTAGGTACGGAAGCAGCTACAGCAAGATTCTGCATCGCTCTCAAGAGAGACGATTCGTGCGCAAAGCATGAGGATGTCGACAAAGCCTCGTTTAGGTGGTTTCGCGAAGTCCGAGCCAAGAACGTCCCAGTGAGTTGCCCGATGCTACGAGCGAAGGCTAGGTCCGTTAAAAAGGTAAGTTGTCTCATGGCATGTACTTTGACCTGAAAAAATTGATGTTATGGTTATAGCATGGTATCACTTATAGTGCGGATTTTCGCGAATCCCGTGACACTCGTTATATGCGGTCTACGCTGTTTTGCCATAAAACCTTGTGACCCTCGGGTTTGCTGAAAAACCCCAAACAGAACAAGTCGAAGAACACATGTGTCCCATACACATCTAGGGTGCAGGAAACGTTGACCAAATGCAGGGCTTGTGTCCTATGTGTGCCCAACGTCCAGCATGTGACATAGAAAGTCCAGCACTACAGCCACGGCACCTGTAACGCATCTCAACTGCCCACATCCTCAAAAGCAATCCCTCCATTTCCTACTGACGTTGCGCAAGCATCGCACTGTTGCCTGTTGCGACCCTGGCAATGGCAGAGCTGAATGCTGAACACAGTGTAGATGCCTTTTTTGCTACTGGTCCTTCTCCAGCCTGACAATTCGTGGAAGCGTCAGCAGTCGGGACATTTTGAAAACAGGGTGACACTTCCATTCTCCTAAGCTTTTTGCCAGAACTTTTGACGGCCGACTATCACAATCGCAATGTTTGACGGCGCGACGCCCCAGCTTTTGCACCATTGTTTGTTTCCGCATGGGGACAACTTTCGATTTGTGGACGATGTAGGACACTAAACAGGTCGGTCCGAGACGCGTTCCAGACACTACACTAAGGCCCACTTTTCCAAGAGGTGCTGGCAGGGGGTCACCTTGAGGTCCCTGAGCGGGATGTCGAGGTACCGCTGGATGGCCACGGCCCAAATGGATTCCAGGTGGGACATGACCGCCACCAGGGAGCCCCCCACGCCTCCGTGCAGGTTCAGCCGGCCCCTCCGCATGGGCCAGTGAATGTGGTACTTCTCCGAGGGGTTCAGGTACAGCACCTGGTTTGTAAGAAGGGAGGGACCTTGCCTTCCGGCATCCACTCGTCGACGAGACACGGCAAGATTGCTGTTTTCCGGTATCTTATAGATTCACGCCAAGATGCTTCTAAGTGGACACAGCCTTACAGAGTCTGCATTTGCCCACAACAGGTGTGGGCGCTGCGCATGTGCAGAAACCTTATGCCCGTGAAGCGAAGCATTTGCACATTTGACAGCAGCGCCACCGCAGCGGCATGACGTTAGAGCTGCGTGTTGCTGTGCGCTACAAAGATGCTCGATAATCCTTCAATACTGGTTCAAGATCTGCGCAGCAGGGCGACAGTGGATTGAAATCCATGCAGTCTAGTACCCTTTGAATGCATACTACTGACTCTAGCGCTGTCTTGAACCATACCGTAAAATCCCGTAAAAACGCCCACCCAAAATGAAGAGATAAATGGTGAAAAACATGGGGTGGGCTATCTTTACGGATGCCACAGCAAAACTGTATCAAAAATTAATGATAAGCGCCGGGGCACCCGCTACAAACCAAGTGACGCGGGGACTGATACCGCAAATCGCGGACATGGCAAATTCGCGTTTCACAATGCGATAAACACGCGGGAGTTCGCTACAAACTCCTGTGTCACGGGAAAGGATACCGCAAGTGGCCGACGCAGCAGATTCGCGTTTCACGGTGCGGAGGAGTCGCGGGAACCCGCCGAGAACTCGCATCTTACGGGAAGGGATACCGCAGATCGCATACGCAGCAGACGGAAACCGATATCACGCGCGCAGATCGCGGACAAAAGCACGGGAATACGCTACGAACTCGCATGTCAATAGGGAGTTTTCGTAGATCGTTTTCGCCGTCCCGCAAGGCCCTCCGCAACCCGCTACGATAGCGGGAACTCCACAGTCAAGGCTATCGGCGCGCAGGCGCAGTAGCAACTGCTTCGTTGCGGAACGCTTAGCGGAGGGGGCAGCGCGGTCTACGAAAACTCCCTATTAGGGAGTTTTCGTAGACCGCGTTGCCCCCTCCGCTAAGCTTTCCGCAACGAAGAAGTTGCTACTGCGCCTGCGCGCCGATAGCCTTGACTGTGGAGTTCCCGCTATCCTAGCGGGTTGCGGAGGGCCTTGCGGGACGGCGAAAACGATCTACGAAAACTCCCTACTGAAACAAATAGCGCAGATCGCGGACGCAACAGAATCGCATTTCACGATGCAATATACACGCAGGAACAACTCGCGCGTGTGACTGCTTAGAATCGATATCGCGCGCGCAGATTGCGGACGAAAACACGGGAATCCGCTACGAACTCGGGAACGGATACCGCAAATCGTAAGCGCAGCAGATTCGCATTTCACGATGCAATATACACGCGGCAACAACTAGCGTGTTACGCGAGCCGATATGGCGCGCAGATCGCAGACAAAAACGCGGGAACCCGCTATGAACTCGCTTGTCGACACACCGGTACCGCCGATCGCGCCTTTGATGCGCGATTCCCGTCGGACATCGCTTGACGTCCACCGGAAATCGGAGGGTGGGCGATGTTTCGGAATTTTTATGTTACAGATGTTTAGCCAGGTAAACGGGATGGGCGATCTCTCGGGGGAGGGCGCCCTTACGGGATTTTACGGTAGATAGTCATATCGTCCTTAGGGTGCTTTTTCTTGCTTAGGGTGACAACATCCCACCATTTTGTTTGCAACTGTTTTTTTGTTACAGAGCATGCAAAAGAGTGTCTCCTGGTATGTGCTCTTGAAATTGGATGAGCTATGGCGGCATTTTGTTTCCGGCAATTTCTTCGCATTTTCCCCGCGAGTGCTCGCTGTCAGCATCGAGCACTACAAAAAATATTGTCGCTCTAAACAGATACACTAAGGCACCCCAATTCTCATCAATGAGACATTACCTCTTCTCCAACCAGGCAGTTCTGCGTCATGTCGACCTTGGTCCAATGGAGGTCACATGTGCTGGCCAGGACAGTGGGCTTCACATGCTGGTTGAAGTTCTGAATCTGTAAAAACAATTTTCTAATGACACATCGTAAGTACTGTAAAATAGTTTGTTGTTGGGCGAGTTGGTGAACGTTTGGATACATGCTTTTGCGCAAAAAAGACGGACACAAGTTTGTTTTTCTTTCTTCTGTCGCGCAAAACCACGTATCCAAACATCGTAAGTAGCTGCGTGAAAAACAACTTTCGAGGCTTCTTGACACGTGACGGCTGCACAAAAAAAGTTGGTGTGGCAGCCAGCGCAGCGACGGCAATCATCAGAATTGCTTTTATGGCCTCTGTCTACCGTGAGATTTCTGTCGACATGATGCCCAATGTTTGTTGCAGAGTGCACAGAGGCCATACATGCGGTCTTGATTCTAAAGCAATTTAAATTTTTAATATGCATAAATGCCTAAATTACCTCTTTAAGGAACTAAAACATACATACTCGCAATATTTCAAATTAGCCAAGGAATTCCAGTTTGTGTTCAGTATGCAACTATATACAGTCGATTATCATTAAATCAAGCTCTCTTAATTCAAACTTGCGGATAATTCAAACTAACATGCAGGTCCCATCCTATGCATCTCTATGGGAGGAAACTCCCGATAATTCAAACTTCGCTTTATCCAAACGAATTTTCGGCCCCCTCCAGTCAGAATTAACAAGATTCGATTGTACATCTTAGACTAGCTTTCTGTTATTTTATCGAGATGTACACGTTTCAAATGCCAATAGCATTGTTTCTTCCTTCGATAACCAAATCTTGCAAGGACTACTTCACCCAGAGCACGAGTAATGCGCAAAACTTCCTATTTTCCTTGATGTGGTGGTGACCATAGAGCAGCCGAAACAGTTGTAGAGAGAATGGTTTCCACTCTGCGTCTTCCAGTCAAGTGACACACTGACACCAGCCCTACCACTGGCTGACGAGGAAGGAATCGCACCAATCGCACTGATGCTGCGTCAAAACTCCAACTCGGCGGAGCACCGTGACAGAGCTGCAGCGACGATGCGATTACGATTTTAGTCACGAAGCAACGGCAATCCCACCGAGCTTGGACAACAATCGCGGCACGCGAAACGGGTTTCCCACGTCCCAAACTCGTTCAGCGTGGCCTAGCCAACGCTGCAATGGAATGGCGGAGTAGGGGGAACGAAGCTGTTGCGGCCGAGCGAAACGCTGCGCTTTCCCGCACCATCCGGGGAAAGCCGATGCCTCCGAGATTGCCGGCGAGCGAAACCCTCCTTTGGCCATTCCAAACACTCGGCCGCCCAGCGAAAGGTGAGCGATTTGTTCACTTTTCTGGCGGGTGGTGGTGCTTGCCTAGAACACTGCCCCAGTGCCTGGTTAGGCACGTGTAAGCACAGTGTCTCTAGCATGCAAGCCCTTTCTCCGCAACTTACACCACCACACGCTGACAATAGGTGCGAGCCATCTTTCCCAATACTGCACTGCTACACATATGAGGTAAACAAAGCTAAAGAACAATAATACTCTTAGTGTGCGAGGCTAGGACTAAACTGCAACTTAATGCCAACGCGGTTAGTGCTTTCACACAGTCTGACCCGACGAATGAAATGGTCGAAGAGGAAACCGCGTTTGATGCCAAGAAGAGCCGCGGTGCGTGAGCGAGTGCCAAACAGCAAACATGGAGCGCAGCTCTCTTTTCAGGGCCCTCTTTCCCCCCCACAAAGTGTGTGTTCCATTTCCGTTTACTTTCAGTTCCACCGGTTTCATACGAATCTGGGTGCTCCAGACTCGCAAATCTATGTGTGAAAGAAACTGTTGCGCGAGTGTTGTCTCTCGTTTCGTAAGCCCAATGGCATTATCGGTTACTGTGTTTTCTTATATCATTTTTTGCGGTCTGCAAGGACGAGTATCAACAGAGTGCAACTGTATTTCAACTCGGGCCCTCCAGCCACACCTGTCGGATGAAGTGCACCCTGAATATCTGTCGCTCTCTCGACCCTTAGCCGTATGCTGTAACCATTACATGCCATGAGCTTTAAAACAAATTGCAATTCTTTTATGTATTCCAGATAATGCTGCGTGCGCGGCAGAGTTGGCAACGCGCGCTGCAGCCGCTCCGAGGAATTGGGTTCCAGCCCCCTTGACCCGGTTCTTTTTTTTTTCTCGGTCTTTGCTCTTTGGACAGCTCAAGCACGTCCTCGGCTGGCATTGTGTGCCCTTGTCAGTAACATTCCTGAACGTGCCGCGTGAATAAAAGCGGCGGCAACGCTGACGTGAGATGTGGCACCTTTCTCTCAAAGTTTGTAGGTGCAAGTTTGCCTGATTTAACTTTGATTTTTAGTCTCACATTATGTGTTATCTTTATGGTGACAATATAACGAAGCTCGGATAAAACAAAGATGTTTGCGACGAACTTGCTATAATCAAGTTTGACTTTACGGAAAGAAAGCTTTACACAAAAGTGTATCTAACCGGAGCTAGTAAGGCCAGCCAGCACACACTGTATTTATTTGCTGGTAAGGCATAATTTCTAAACAAACATTTGAGCAAAAATAGTCTACATTTCATGCTCGAATAAAAGGAAATATAATATGTGTTGAACAAAAGATTTTGCATTGAACGAGTTAATTCAACCAACTACAGTTTTTATCAACTATGCTCTTGCATCTTATAATCATGCATGTTTTATAATTGGGTTCCTATCTCTTCTAAGTTTATGTCTGGTAAGGGATAAAAAGGATCTCTTTTGGAGCACATATTTTGTAGCAAATATGGTTTTTATCCTATTTCACTCGCTTTTAACGAGAGATGCGAGTTAAAAAACATATTTTGCAAAATATTTCATTATGGGTTTTATGGTATTTTATTATCTCTGAATCTTAATATTCTATGCATAAAATACTAAATGCCAATTACGATCAAGAAATTTGTCAAATGCACATTTGAAGCCCTCCTGGCAACCCAGTACGGCATAAATTTAAGCCATTTTTCTGCACGTGGTTTTTCAAATTGTGATGACGCCAGCCATCACATTTACATTGACAGGTAGGCAAAGCCGTCTCCTCTCCATCCCAGTCTTCTGGAGCTTCTACTTCTCACAAAAAATTATTCACAAAATATTATTTTTTTTAGCGCAGAAGAGTACACAAGGAAGGTAACATTCAAAAGTGTTTTTCTCTTTATGAAATTTTGAAGCATCTTCACAGTTTACACACAACAAGTTCTGCTCTTAATATTACCCTATCACAACCAAATTTGGCATGCATATAAAGTCGAGCCCAGCTATATCACACTCGGGAACTTCGAATTATTCTTCATATCAAACAGTCTGTCTTCTTTCATCCAACTCCCATGTGGGGGACACCCAATATAGCGAAGGAACGGCCTGGCCGCCAAATTCTTTTTCCCGCCATCCGATTGCGCAGGTAGCGAGCACATCGCTTGAGTTGAGTGGCTGGCAGACCGCCAAGCCAGCATACACGCGGGAGGATACGCAACCGAAAAGCAGTTGTAGAAAGAAAAAAAAAACATAAAAAAAAAGTGGACGATGGCAAAAGCAAGGGGAAGGGCACGTGCACAACCATAGGCAGAGCAGGGAGTGCTTGCTGTCGGAAAGGTAGCCTGCACCTTTCCCCAGACACTGCTGATGCTTCGCAACTCCCTAGCCCCAAAATAAAATAAGAAAAAAAAAATAAAGCCTGGCAAGTCGAGTGTGAGAGTGTGACGACAACAACGGTTGTGCAATCGCACTTTGAATGCTTTATCTTTGTTTGCATTTTTCTTTTGCCATTATTGCACTGCCCTTTTTTCTTTTTTTTCTTTGCGTTTCTTTTTTTGTTGCTGGAATTTAGTGAGCTTTCTTTTTGTGGCTTGCTTAGCTTTTTTCTACGGATCGAGACTTGTTTTATGTCTAACGCTTATCCGTTTTTCTTTCATATTTTTTTTTATTATTTTCGTGTTTTGTCGCTTATGTTGTGTGGAGGTCCCGTCCGGGTGCGCGTGTAAGCGCGGCGGTGTTTGCGATCTCCGCCAACTACGCTCTACTGTATTTAGTAGCTCTTGGATTCTCTATTTGGTAAGCTCCCATTTGTTGCGACCCTCGCTATTAGCAGAGACACCAGGAAATTTCAACTCAAGCCTAACTTAACATATTTTTGTATATCAAATTAATTTTGATATAACAAACTATTTTACGATCCCCTTTAAATTCAATATATTTTGGGTTTGACTTACTTTACAATGTGTACAATGCAACTACAGTAAACTCTCACTGCATTGAACGTCGGTTTAACAAATATTTCAGAATAAAGAACATTAAAAAAATCCCCAGCAGTTTTCCTATGCATTCCATGCAAAAATGTTTTAGTTAAACAAAAAACGAATTTCAGAATATTTCAGTTCAACAAACTTGATCGGTGGACCCAGGAATATTTTTGCAATCAGTTCAACGAAGTTCTGTGCTCTGCAGTGCTGGCGTAACCGATGCCCGCCGCCCCGCTGCCACCACCTCTGCAGCGGCAGCATATCATCGCTGGCGTTTACAGGGCCACCGAGGCAAAGAGGCAATGCGGTAGACGATAACGAACCACGTGCTGTGTCTGTTTTTTCTTCGTCATCGGTTCCATTCGGCCATCTTAGTTTTGGGTAACAACGGCAGGACGGCAGTTTGTGTGCCCACTTTTGTAATGAGTATGACTAGACAGAAGCGGTTGTCTCTATCAGACGAGCTCAAAATCCTTCCGTGTCTGGACAACGGTCAAACGCAAGTGGCTATTATGAAGGACTATGGGATTCCACCGTCGCCATTGTCAACAATAATGAAGCAAAAGTTGAAGCTTGAAGGAGAAACTGTGTTCAGTCCTAACAGGAAACGACTCTGCAAGGGATATTTCGAGCCAGTGGACGATGCCGCTGCGGTATGGCTTCATCACAAGCTGTGCCAGAGGAAGTGCAAAAAAACATAGACTCTCTGGACAGCTTTGTTAATGATTTTTTTCAAAATGAGAAAGGCAGCACCGGAACTGTTCTGCACTTTGTATATATCGATGTACATGACTCCAGAAATTGCATTTCACACTTTTGACTCGATGTATGCTGTGCCCTATGCTGTTCCATGTTATAGTGAATATATTCAGTCTAGTGAACTTTCAGTTAAGTGAACTATTTCCTTGGGTCCCTCAAAGTTTGCTTAAGTCAGAGTTTACTGTGACTAGGTTTGGTTCAAATGTACATTTTTTATAGTTATGAGTAAGTTAAGAAACTTTTGTTAGCCCCTTGAAAATGGCATTTTTGCAAATTTTAATTATTTTACAATACAAGTCTCATACACATTGCTTTTGTTGTTCATTGCACTCAGTGGTTTAAAAAGAGTGAATTATTTTATTTTACTAGGCTCTTTTAGGTGTGTTGCAATGCCCACGTCTGCAAAAAACATGCTTTCTTTCTGCATGTGCACTGCATCCAGAATATAAAAAAAAAATATATGTATCAAATCTAACACCATACTTTAAAGGGGAGATCAAGCATTATAAAATGTTAAAATTTCCTTCAGTTATCGTAAATACTATTTGAAAAATGTTTTCCCCTGGCACATGTCTCTTTAAAGGGGTACTCAGATGATTCCTTCATGGTCCCCGATTTGAATGAAAATGTGCTAAATACACACATCTCTGAAATAGTATCCCAAATATTAGGTAAAAATATTGTTTTTTCGGGAAGTTATTGAACTTAAGATTTTGGTCCTCACAGTGTTTTTCAAACTCTCTACGAAACAACCAAAAAGTGATGGAAGGCAGCAGTTCATTCTTAGGAGTGTAGAATTTGTTCCCCACTGATTCCAAGCAGTTTCATGGTGTCAAATGAATGCCTCGGTAGCTCGCTCCAGTACCCGTGCACAGAACAAATGCTTGGCATAGTCTATTTTTCAGACTGGTTGCTCGATTGGCAAGCCTGCCTGCCACTGACGTCACATTCCCGGAAAAATGGGTATATTTGAACGTTGGTTTTTGCATCATCTTCATTTGCTGATATCACAATAACTACTATGAATTTAGCGATACTATAGTATATAGCAAACCAGAAAGGGTAAATAAAGGGCGGAGATTCCGAAAGTATGGTTAATTGGGGTAACTCGAAAAATCGCTGGAGTACTCCTTTATTTCCGAATCTACAGCAATTCAGCATTTATTACGTAACTTATTTCTGTTATATTTTTAAGCAGAATTATGGATAAAAAGAAATATATTCCAGATACAGAGGCGCAACAAAGGAGAAAGCACACGTTCATTGTAATCCACATTCACGAGACACCTGCGGGATGTGACTTCTACTGTTCTGGAAAAGGTCAGACTGGGCACTGCCATGACCCAGGCACAAGGCAACACCGACTCAACAATGAGCCCCCCTTGCTAGCAGCCCGAGGTCAGCGAGCAGACTAGAGGGGCATTTATTCAGCAATGTCGACTCGGTACCCAGCAGAGACTGCCCTGCCCCAGACTTTTTTTCTGACATCTCGGAGTTTCTGAATTAAATCCAAACCTACAAAGCATTTACCAGCAAATTTTAACACAGAATACATTCGTGGCAAGGGCAACTTGGCGAAGATGTAAGACACAAAAAGCAAGACGCTGAAGTGGGACACAAAAGAGTTATGACCAAGAGAACAACGTAGGGTGCCACTGCCACGGCGCTTGTCACCGCATGCATGCAATATGCATTGATACCAAAGTAATAGCATAAGTGTCGGTACATAAACAATTTCACCGAGATTTGCCTACTTAAGTACGTATCCTATGTCTTACGGTTTCGTCAAATGTAGACAAAGTGCTACCAAAAATGTCTTTTTAGCTCTCTATTTTTTTAGGAGCTCTACTTCTTATTCAGCACATCTTCATATCCAAATAAAAGTTATATAATTTGCAAACAAATTGCAACCTCAGGGAAATGCTTTGTATAAAATAGCCAGTTAAAAAATAAAACAGCAGCAAAAAAAAAAGAAGCCTACAAGAAGATGGAATACATAGGCGCCATTTTACTCTATGTACTACTTGTTCTGATGTCTTTTTTCAGTTCTTTTATTAAGGCAAAAGCCTTATATGTCTCATCTTTCGATCGACTTGCAAAAAACATGTCGGCGACATGAAATGTACCAAAACGGAAGGTACCAATGAAATGGCGCCAAAACTGCGTCGTCAAAGAGTGCACTGTCTTCGGAGGTTCGCTATCACGTTTGCGTGACCACTCAGGCGAATTAGAGGCAATCAAATTAAGAAGGATGGCAAAGTGAATTAAGAGGAATCAAAGTGAATTAAGTAAATTATGCATCCGTCTTTAATGCACCGGCGCTTTGGCTTTCGCCTTCAAGTCCTCTTAGGAACAACATAAGAGACCCTGTAAATTTTTTCCCTCGTAACACGTACCAACTCACACAAGCAGGCATGTGCAAATAAAGAATTTTGATTTCAAAGTAAATATTGGTTTTGGCCAGATATTTTCTAACCAAATATTGAACTGTTTCACCCAGCCTTTCACTACCGTACCATGCTTAAACGAAAACCCAGCTGAACTTGTGAAGCTTGTTTTTAAAGCTCCCACTTGCACATTTCTCAGCTAATTTTAATCAAGATATATTTAAGGACTGTGGAATCAAAGTCACATGTTTCCACTGGGATGACAAGTAAGTTATGTAATGGACATAAAATTAAGCCTCTATTGATGGCCAGCTACGCCTAACAAAAGTGATTTATGAATCTTCTCACTTTATGCAAATATCCTTTCTCAAATCTGGAATTAAGGAATAAAAGACAATCATGAATAATGAGTGCAGGTTGTCAAGGCATCTCTGCCTAACATATATATGTTCTCACGTAACAGCCACAATTTCATTTTAAAAATTATAATGCTACGTAGATATTAACATTTGCAAGGTTTCTGTTCTTTTTTTTTTAAATGCACCAGGTGAACGTGTGCACTATCCCATTTTGATGTGTGCTCTTCACATATGCACATGACTGCCATATTCATACTTTTTGGAGTGTTGACCGCGGCACAAGAGCCCCGCCGAGCGTGCTTCTTACCGAGCATCAGTGCACCGAGGACCGAGGTTGTTACTTCCCCACAGTGCGCCAGAGCTCCGTATGAAGCGTATTCAATGGGGCTAACCCACTGCAATTAACACTCACAAAAATATGAATATCGCAGTTCATCTGGAGGCAAATATTGAATACCGTATTATTCTAAAGTACTATTCGAAAATTAGAATATTCGAGCAATTCTACACGTAACTATAATCCGTTGCAACTGAAGAAGGTAGGGCGAGGGAAAGGAAGACCGGGGAGGAGGAAGCAGGCGGAACATTAGAGAGAGGAGAAGGCTTCCCCCCCTCCTCTCCAGCATTTCGTCTGCTTGCTCCTCCCGGCCTCCCTTTCCCTCGCCCTAGGTTTTTGAGTCGCAACGGACTATAGAAAAATCCCTAAATTGCTAAAAATGAACAGGGTCTCTTGTGTTATCTCTAAGACGACTTGAAGGGGAAAGCCGAAGTGCCCATTCATTAAAGACAGACACCCCTCTTAATGTGACGAGTCATCCTTCTTAAAGTGTTGAGTCATCCTTCTAAATGTGCTGTCATCCTTCTCAATGTGCTCAGTCATTATCTTAATTTGCTTAGTCATCCACTTAATTCGCTTAGTCATTCACTCAGTCATCCACTTAATATGCTTAAATTCCTCTTAATTCATTTTAATTACTCTTAACTAGCTTTGTCGTCCTTCTTAATTAGCTTTGATTATTCTTCTCTTTAATTCCTCTTAATACCATTGATTACTCTTACTTCTTTTTAATTACTCTTAATTCCCTTTAATTACTCTTAATTCACTTTGATTTCTCTTAATTTGCTTTGTCATCCTTCTTAATTTCATGGCCTCCAATCCGCCTGACCGGTCACATAAAAATTTGGGTACCTTTTGTGTCGCAGACGAAGGTCGACTGAACGATGAGGCATATCAGGCTTTCACGTTAATAAAAGCAGCCAAAAAGCAAAGCACTACTTCTGCCACCCTCAACAACATTAAAAAGCTTGGTTAGGCAAAAGAACAACAGTGCAAGAGCACTACTCTTCTAACCTAACTTGTACCTGCAGCGGTGCAGCACACATTAGGTTAGGTTCAGTTGGTTTGAGTTAGGTTAATAGGTTAGATGCCCACCTTGTCTGTTGGGAAGGTGTACCTGATCCTGCCTTCGGTCGTCAGGCACGACGCCAGCAGGTTGCCCACCACCTCGCAGCCCTCCTCAATGGTGGCAACCACTTCGGGCTCCTGGAACCAGTTCATAGTTTGGTCACCACCGACGTACAAACACCTCGGAAGTTCCCTCGAGCCATTCCTCGAGGACCCACTCTAGCCGTTGCATATCTGCCGCCACTTGCTGCAGATGTGCGACGAAGATAACACTGACAAAATTTAGGTATCCGAGACTCAACGTGGAAACGTCAAGAATTTCACCAAATACAAACCTAAGCTGAGATTGCTATAGAACGAGCATCAATTTTGTTGCCGCTGAGGGGGATCTATGGCCAAGTGCGCTGACACACTGCAGTTTGGAGCAAGTGAAGCAAAAGCTCGCGATGCAGAACTTGGGGATCCTGGGCTCGGTCCTCACCCCTGCCTGCATCAATCTGAATGAACATCGCACCGGCGTTGTGTATCACTACTGCATGGTGCACGTTACAAACCCCAGGCTAGTAGTGGCAGTGCACTGGATAAATTTCTCATCACAGCAGACACCAGAAGCCTGGGGCTGACTAACTTTCCATTGTCTAAACATACACACAATTACTTTGCCTTTGTCACGCAAGTCGTGACACGTACAGCCTCGTCTCGCTAAGAGTGCTTCCTTCATCGTGCATCACAGGCACACCAACACGAAAGAGAAACTGCAAGCTCCGTGACCCTCTTCGCAAAATTAAAAAGTTTTGATTACAGAGGCGTCTGAAATTGTCATTAAAGAGACACTGAAATGAGAAAAAAGGCCTACCCTAAGCACCGCCCATTACTACAAGACTGGCTTGGCTGCTCTGCCAAACATGCTAACAATTCTAGTGTCTTCCTTTTGCAACATCCAGTACGTCTAGTCTGGAGCTTGGCACCACCTGCTAGTCGTGGGAGCAGACGCGCAGCAGCCTCCGGCATCGTCTGCTATCCCGCACTGCAAGTCCGATTCCCGGCTCGGTGAGAAGACCACTCATTGCGGAACCTGAAACTGGGACCAGCTGCCGCACCAAGGGAGAGGATCCTGAGTACAGTCACCATCGTCTATCATCTGCAATGCCCGTAAGACACGGACACAAAGGCTGCACGTCGGCATCCATTTTTGCCTTCATCCGTCTGCTATTCTGCTCCCGTCTAAAAACTTTCGCAACACTCGCAAGACGAGACCATCAAAGCGGTGTTCTAGCGTTACATCATGCACGAGCCAAGGTCTAATACAAGTGTCTGTCAGCATCTGTCGACGTACGGTAAAAAGTGACCGAGAGGACTAAAAAAATCAACTACCGTAGAATACCGCGCATCCGCCCATTCCACACTAAGCGCCCATTCCCGAATTTGCAAGATGTGAAAAAATATGCACAGTACATTGATTTGTAAAATTGACAACTGGACAAACGCCCATCCCTCATTTTTTCCTGATTATCTCTAAATTTTGAGTGGGCGCTTGCCCGGTATTTTACGGTAAGTAAATACGCAATCCTTCTAGCTTTTCTGTTCCTGTTAGCTGTTTTGCATTGCATCCATGAGCAAGGTGGGTGAGCGACATAACACAAAAATAAAACACGACCTAAAACTTTTCACTTTGACAAGCAAGGTGCACTGCAAAACTTGACAGCTACTTTCCTTATGAAGCGAAATGATGCGAACATACCTAGACAAACTTGGTGCGAGCCAAACACCCAATTGGCTCTAGCAAAATGGCTCGCAAATTCTTAGCTGTATAGGTATGTTCTCGGTATTGAAACCATGGTCACAATCGCGATGGTTGCACAATTCACAGAACAGAGGGGCCGCTTTTACGGGTACCAACATCTTTATTCAGCATCAACACGCGCAAGCAAAAACAGGAACAAAAACATATTTGACAAAGATTTGTATGGTTAGATAAAGCTATATACAGTAAAACCTCGTTATAACAAAATGGGATATAACAAACTAATGGATATAACAAAGTAATCATAATTCCCCTTGCTTGCTATAGTGGGAAGAAATAGATATTGGCTATAACAAACTAATGGTTATAACAAAACAATTATGACCGCTCCTTCAACTTTGTTATAACGAGGTTTTACTGTAGTTTAAAAAAGTTAATTCCAACCAAAGTCCTCAGAAAGTGCTGCCCAACGTTTTGAAATGCATTCAGTTACTTCATCAGGGGTGACTAAATGGCATGGGATGCAGCAGTTTTTTGCATGGATACCTTAGCATTGAAGGTCAGCTTTTCATGCAGGTTAGCGGAACAGCGATGGGTGCTTCTACATCGGTCACCGTGGCAAACCTAACAATAGAAAAAATAGAAAAGCGACAGCTACGGTCTTTCAATAGCAGACCCAAAGTTTTCACGTGTTACGTTGATGATTGATTTAGTGTTTTAAAGAAAGCCGATGTCAATGATTTCCTTGCCCATCTCAACTCCATCGAGCCGGCCATACAGTTCACTGGAAAGTATGAGAGAGATAACACTTTACCGTTTTTCGACGTACTGATAGGAAGGCAAAAGGAAGTACTAAAGTTCACCGTGTACTGGAAACCTACCTACACCGGGCGCAACCTTCACTTTGACTCGAACCGCCCAACAAGTCACAAGGCGTCGGTGGTTTCAGCACTGCTATCCAGGTCAAGAACTATCTGCTCATCAGAGGCCGATTGAAGAAAGGAGAAGCAGACCATCGTTGCTGACCTTCAGAAAAACTACTAACCAGTAGTTTTGTTGAGAGCATTGCCCGTCATCGAGGTCGTGCCCACCAAAAGGAGAAGGCATCGAATGAGAGGCAGCATTGCCCCGTCGCGCGCATCAGTGTCCCTACGTAAAGCGGACCAGTGAAGCACAGGTGAGAGTGCTAAGTAAAGAGGGCACTCAAGTAGCCCACAAGCCAGCGTCCACACTGGCGCTGTCTACCAGATTCCATGCGCAGAGTGCCCTGCCTCCTACATCGACGAAACGAACATCTTTCCAGAGCGACTCCGTCAGCGTAAGAACGACATGCGAAAATTTTATTGCGAGCGCGGCACCGTCGCCAAACACTGCGAAAACCTCGACCATTGAATCGACTTTGTGAACACGCGCTTGCTTGACGTGGAGCCACATATCTGGAAAAGGCTTTTCCTGGAGACATGGCACATTCAGCATACACTGGGGAACATAGACAGGTGCCTGGGTGCCTTGCCCTTTGTGTACACCCAGGGCCAACGTCACCTGGCAAGCAAAGGTGCTAAAAGAACACACCCGGAAAAAAATAAAAAAGGTACCTCGACGGGCAAAGAGGAAAAGAAAAATAAATAAAATAAAATAAGAAAAAACAACCGCATCTCTACGTAGTGAATGATGTTGATTGGGGTGAAGTTCTGGTGGTGCTTGTCTGCGTAGACGGTGAGCCGCAGCATGCCGAGCCTTTCGTTCGTTTTCGTCCATGTCACACTGCAGCCAAATGCTCAAATGCGTATATAACCACGTTCCATACCACACATTCTCTTTCTGACATGGGTGAAAATGAACGAAAGGCTAGGCATGCTGCGGCTCAGCGTCTACGCAGACAAGCACCACCAGAGCTTCACCCCAATCAACATCATTCACCACGTGGAGATGCGGTTGTTTTTTTTTTGCCCTACACGAGCACGGGAGCTCACGAGCAGGAGCATGTGCACCCGACGGCGGACTGACATACGGACATGGCTAGCCCCTAAGGAGCTTCGCCCCTAAAAAACTGCTGCATCCCCGTGCTATTGAGTCACCCCTGATGAAGGAACAAAATGTGTTTCGAAACGATGGCCAGTACTTCTTGGCGGTATTGGTTGGAGCCCATTCCTTGTAACTATATGCAAACAAAGAAATCAAGCTAGATCAAGCAAAATAGTTGGTGTAGGATGCTAGGCCTAGGGCAGTTCCGCTACGAAAACGAGCACCCGCACAGCGCTTCAAAGGCACATACTAGCAACTTTTCTTTTTTCTTCCACCTACGGCAGTTAAGGAGATCTTCCCAAACACCTCTGTAAACTCAAAACGACTCACACTCATAAAAAGCCCTGTTTGTTATTGTTTCCAACCGTGGAGGTAGGAATAAGAGGAGGCAACACACTAGCTCAAGTCAGCCAAACCAGAAAATCCCGAGTGAAGTTGGAAGTAAAGGTCGTGGTCAATGGGAACGCACCCAAGGGTGCCCAAGCCTGTCCAATAGCATCTTTTCGTTTTGGCCATCATTGGGGGTGCGTCCCTCCAAACCAGAAGTGTCCCCCAAGCTTCGCCTCTGGTGGCATCATGTCGCCTCCGGAAGCTTCTTACCTCCATGTTCCAAACCAAAGCGGGAGAAGCAATCTCGGAATGCATTAGCAAACAATAATGACTGTCATTGAGAAAAGGCCTCGAGACAAGGAACGAAAAAAAGGGGACACCCACTACACCGTCTCTAAATGCAGCTACAAAATTTATTTCCGCACAATCCTTTTTATAGGGGGCACCCACCCACACCGCTGACACCAACAACCGTCAACCCCACGGTCAAGTCAAGTTTTAGCGCAACAATGTGACCGATTAAAGACATTTTCGAGAAAAGTTGCTACAAGATCCGTCACTATCTTGAGTTTTGCGAGCCTTTCTAGCGTGTAAATTTTTTTTTTGTGACACCCCGTATAAGTATGCCCTTGCTTGTGATGGACTCGGAGATAGGGTCCTTCCTTTGTGTCAAGCTTTCAAGGTCACCATGTTTGCCGATGCATTGTTACGCCCCATCGGAGCTTGGACCTGGTCCAGTTGACTGTGGGGTTGATGGTTGTTGGTGTCAGCGGTGTGGGTGGGGTGCTCTCTACAAAAAGGATTGTGTGGAAATAAATTTTGTAGCTGTGTTTAGGGATGGTGTAGTGGGTGTCCCCTTTTTGTCGTTCTTTGTCTCGAGGTTTTTTTCACTATAATCGTTCACTAGCTTGCCTGCACAGTAACTCTCATATCATAATGACTGTATCTTGATAATTTGTTTCTTAAACATAAACAAACTGTCGATTAAAATACTATTACAGCACGGAGATACAAATTTACAATCAACCTTTCACACTTC